TTCGAATTAACGCAGAATCCATCAGCCTGATCCATAACGCGACTTTTGAGACAACAAAGCATATTTAGTGCAGATCAGTCTTTTTTGCTTCATTTTAAAACTGTTGCATTTTATTCGAACGACACAATAGGGCCATTTATACGAGGAAAAATAAAACGCGTCTTACATAAGACGCGTCTTAAATAAGACGCGATCTGGACCATTTATACTAGCATGTCTTATCTGACCGGCATACTGTATACCACAGTCCATCATCCCAGAGTGTCTATCTCTTATGCAAGGCCTGGGTAATAGTGTGGAAGACATTAAGACTTTTTACTCGACTTATCTTAAGCAAAGGCGGATCTAGGGGGTAGGGGGTAGGGTGCAGGGGTGCGCCCCACTCCCCCCCCCTCCCCCCACCTCAGATGACGGCTGGATCTTCTAATACAACTGGTATTCTGCAAAATATGCAGATATGTATGATAAATGCAAATGATGTTCACCGCTGAATCCAGGAAGCCACGAGGGGGCCAAGGGGGTTTCGTGTCTCCTCTCGTGTGTCTCTCGCGGGTCTACTTTTCACGATATCCCTCAAATGGAGAGCTTGCTCGCAGGCTACAACTTGCTAAACCCTGCGTTTGTTGGAATCTGAAGTTAATTGGGACGTAAATGTCTGTGGGGGCAATTACAAGTTCGATCCACTTTTAAGACTCGGCGTTCATTCGGGGCGGGGTTTTCTCCTAGCTATAGCAGTGTTTTCCACTCTTCTCAAACGCACTTTTAAAAATTTAAAAACAACAAACAAACAAACAGATATCTCAGTCTCCCCAGGCCCCTCGCCCCCCACTCCCTCAGAAAAAAAAAAGGAAAATTATGGAAATTGAAAAAAAAAATGGGGTTTCCATGGTGGCGTAGCGTAACGGTGCTCTCCCGTTTTCTACGAGCCGAGGAGCACGAGCTTGCAGGATGAACTTCACCTGCTGCGGTATTGCGGTCTTTGCAAATTTGCAACCTCATAACGCCGCTTGGCCTCTTGAAGCATGTATCCAGTTAAATCTTGGCTTATAAAAGTACATAAGACATACGTAATCAGTCTACAAATGAGATATACCCACCAAAAAGCCTAACTGACAACCAAAAGAACAGCCGAACATCCATTAGTAACTGATCGAGTTAAAGAACTCCCTCCAAATAGCATTGTCGACAAGTGTTTTTTTTTTGGTTGTGGAAACGATCTACGCCGGAACTAGCCAGTTTAACATGAATGTTTCCCGATATAACGGGTAACTGCTGCCAGTTTCCGGGGAAAACCCCGTCGCGAGGGCGGACCGAGGTACTGTAGATCATAAGCCCAGGGACCGCGCAGCAAGTTTTCGAGTGGGGGGGCTAAAGAAGATTGCGTGAAGGAAAATTTGGGGGGGGGGGGGGGGGGCATGCTTGTGGATTTCTATTCAATTTCTCTAAAGTGACGGAAAATGCGAATAACGATAAAACTATTGATTTTTTTCCACATCTTCAGTGATGTTGCTATCGGGTCTGAAAATTCACCATCACTAAATTGAAATATCATAGATTGTTATGTTATACTACTGATATCAACCTTTAATTACTAGAAATAAGCCAGAAATCCAACAATTTTGCTTGAGCTGCCTTGAACTCAAGGCTGTATAATTACTGAGCAATTATTGCACGAGGCGGAATTCGCGCTGATCGAGCTAAAATCAGGACGCACGGCACAATAACAAGAGAAACAATAACTTCATGATCTTCCAAAAATCAAGGTTGAAACTAATAAACAATTTGTTTGAGAATCGCCTTATAAACTAAACCCAGTTGTTACTTTGGATCGAAATTGACCAATTACGAAACAACACGTTTTCCTGAGAGGTCCGCAGGAAAAAAGAAGCAATTTAAAAGACGTTTACCTCTGCTAGGTTAGAAGCGAAAAAATATTTTACAATTGTAACGATTAATGCTTCATTCTGTCTATTGCCAGTAACTCTGGTCACTTTCGAATTAGCGTTTTCATTGCTATTTTTCACTCCGTTACTTTTGTTAAATTATTTTTTGACTAATTCATTTTTATTCTTGCAAAAAAGTGGGGGGGCTAAAGCCCCCCCAGCCCCTCCCTCTGCGCGGTCCCTGAAGCCCGGTGGACGATCGCCTCTAAATTCTTCAACCGAAAAATCATGTGCAAAATAATAAAAATATTAGCGATATACTTATGCTATTTTTATGGCACTTAAGAGCGAATGCACAGAAAAATCGAGCAAAATCGGCAAATCGTGGCCACAGCTCAAAACCTAACTTACTCTCATTTTCAGTCTGTAATAAGGTTTTAATGAGTTTATAACACTGCTGAGGTTTAAATTTCAAAATGCGGCCGAGTTTGGGAATTATTTGAGATTTTCGATTTCAACGGTCTGCGGGCCTAAAATTAGCCGCCGAACACGGCAATATAGCCTAGCGACAGAAATGAGCTGAATTTCATAAACGAGCGAATATATTGCCAATCTTCCACTTAAATCTCAAAAAGCAGATATCTAACAATTTCTGAATGGCTTCTTTTTTTTTTTAGAGTATAAAATATCGACGAACCAGCAGAATTTTGAAACGTAATTTGCATAATGCTTATAAATACAACAATTTACCGCTAAAACCAAAATCGAATTTTCTATATGGGGGAATTCTCCAAATCACCCCAAATCCCGCTTACTAACTAATGAGATATAGTACTTCAACATTATCTGAAAGTTAGTCTGGTGTTCTTGCGAACGCTTGTGAAATAGATTGATTATTTTGAAGTTATTTTGCCCCAAACAACTGCTAATTGACCCCAGGGTCAATTGACACGTGCACGTCACCTTAGTTTTATGCATCGATTTGAGCTCGTTAAAAGGGAGAAACTAACAAGATTCTTTTAATATGAACCTGTTTTAATGAAATACACGCAATCTTCAAAAGGAGAGGCCGTTCAATGGGTAATTTCTGTTCTTGAGATCTTGAAGATTGCAGCATGGCGTCTGCGAGTGGACCTGAGTCTAGGTCTGTTTTCCCGTGACTGCGAAATCAGAATAACATCAAGAAATAATTCTCCCTCGAATCTTCGTAAGTGAATAAGCTTTGCAATGCCTTACCTGAGATAAAAAGTGGGCCGAATAGCAAAACATTTCCAGCGCAATTTGGATCCTTTGTCGAACGCAGTGTATTGCCGAGCGAAAGGTCAGTAAACAAACGTGGGAAAGTACGTTACCTTTGATTGCGTGACCAGCCAGTAAACGATAGTCTCCAGCGAAAAATAGGATTCGCAAAAATCTTGCTGATGTATATTTAACAGTTTGTTACTATAAATTTACATCTGGTTTGTCTAAAACTTTAAACAATGCATATCTGTCCAAGAGTATAAGAATGTTTCGAAAGATCCACCCCTAAATAACTGCGGGCTAGTCCTTTTTCCCCATCACCGATGTGTACTTCCTTCCCACTGTCTTTTGCATGGGGCTTGTATGCCTTTTTAACTGTTATCGACACTTAAAACTGGCCGTTTAAGGCCTGGTTTAAGAACTTGACTGACTTAAAAAACCGTCGCGAACATGCGCTATTATTGTTGGACTTTGGAAGCTTAAAAGCCCAAAATGATGGTGCAATCTCGAGAAATTTGCCCGGGTCTAATAAAAAGACAGGGAACGGGTACTAAGAAAGGAACGGTCTCATTTAGCAACCCGTGGACAATCTGGGCATGCTTGCCTTCTGTCGAAGGGGCAACCGTTAAGGCCAGGTGCCCCGCCCCCACCCGAGAGGATTGCATGGCATCCACCATTTCAGTCGCTTTTTCCACATCATGACCTTCAATTATCATGAATTATAATGCGGGCCTTGATCGTTGTCACCTTACCAGAAGTCTAATCTTCGCACTGTTAGACCATGAGAATCTCTATTATTATTCCATAAATGCACCATTGAATTTTCCTTGCTCAGCTTCCGGGAAACCGATACCCCGAAGCAAAAATAGCTTTACAACGACTCTATCCAGGCCAGAACTCCTGATATCAACAAATATACCCCCAACTAAAGAGAGCAAACGTTCCCCGAAATATTCACTTGACCCACCCCATCCCTTCGTTAAGAAAAACTACGCGCTCAGTTCACTGGACAAAACGCGCTCGTGAATATACCAAACTATAGCCGAATATCCTACAAGTAATCTCAGTTTCAGCAGGCGTGGCCACGTTTCCAGTTGCTGTAGGATTAATTCGACTCCTGCAACAGACACTGTAAATTAAATAGCAGCCACAACGCCCTTCTTTGAGACCGTCAGGACGAGAAAGTTTATAAAAGACTTAACAGGTGCGCGCGGCGGTTTTCTTTTCTTCTTTCCCTCCCATTGTAGCACTCAAATTCTGACCCTGGTATTTATTCTAGTAGTAATCAATCGTTCCTGAGCCGATAGGCACAAGGATACCGGTTTCTTGCAAAATATGCTGTGACATCCGTTTGCTCATCCCCTTTTCTGCCTTCGGCCGCTGATTAGGTTTGGTTCTGTGCTTTGAAATAACTTTAGGAACGAAACATGATACGTGAGGGGCGTGTCTGGCTAAGGGCAAGTGACTCTCGGTGGTGAAGACATATATTGAGCTTGTCAGTATTTCGTAACCTGTAGCACGTCGCGAAAATAGAACAAGCCAAAGAAAAATAAGACGCCTTTCTTTCCCCAGCCCCCGCAAGTTTTTCGCATTACTTTTTACTGCACAACTGATTCTACCTTTTCGAGCCGGAGCGAACATGGACGACCTTAGGGTTAAGTTTCCACTTCATTTTCGGCACCTGACTAAACGCAAGCGCTGACTTGTGCGCCTATGCTTCGTTTCCACTGAAGTAGCAGTATATGACCACGACAGACTTGCTGCTATCCTTGGTTTGAAACCGCAATGGGCAAGAACAATTTCTTGAAAAGAGCAAACTATTCCCCCCTTAGCAGACATGGAGAAGAACTACTAGGACTTAAGCAATGCCATTGCTCAAGTCCTACTAGACTTGAAAAGTGTTTTTGTGCGAGCAGGGATCTTCGAGTGGTGGTACAACTTTTCCGATATTGAACGGGCAGCAGTGATTGGTGGACCTCTATTGTTCATCATTATACTAATCATTGCCTGTTGCTGTTGTTGCAGCTGCTGCAGGTCCCGTCCAACCAACCCAGGGGCTGTTATCGTCACTCCCGCAGCTGTCCATACGGCTGTCATGGCGAGAAGCACCAAGAGCACCGTTTCCATGAAACCACCGGTCAACGAGACTTGAGTTTCACTCTGAATAGACAGAGTGGTGCAATGGGCAAAAAGCGCGTCAGTAAATTTCGCTAAAATTTTGCTTTGTTTATAACACCTTAATCCGTTCTGAACACTTTTGTTTAGTTACTGTTAAGTACAATCATAAACAATTGTTGCCGTCTTATTCTCAGGGGGTTTAGACGCCGTACTTTATAGGATTAAATTTGAGTTTGGGCCCACTGAAATTAATTTAGGACCGCCAATCTTTAATCCAACCGAACTAAAGCTTCAAAATGCAGTAAGAATATATCAATTTTTTTTCAAAATTATGCAGTTAGTTTGGCTAAAATTTGAAGTTCGGTGTCTGTATTAACGCTGGTGCACTGCCGTTTCAAACCGACTCTGCTTCTGTGAAGAACAGCGTCTGAATCAGGCCTCAAAGTACCGTGGTTGCTAGATTTTTCCTGCTATCGTTTATATTCTCATACCTATAATCTAATTACATCGTTCGATTTGGAGCATTAAATGTTACTTCGCATTTTCGTATTGGACCCTCATATGTGACCCTATAACCAACACCCGACGCTGCAATGCGGGACGCCATCAAGACTGTTATTTAAGCGTCTGTTGCCTATGTTGGCATTGCATTGTTTACTATTGATGGTACGCTATGAGGAAGCCCAACTGCCATAAACACATGCAGCTTTCAGTAGTGGTTATGGTTCTTCCGATTGTTTTTTCTTTTTTTATCCAGTTTTTGCCCTTTCCTTTCTTCCCTCACCGACTTTAGTATATTTTAGTTCAAAAAATTATTTTTTCCTGCCGCGCGCTTTACTCAATATGAATTTCAACTCTAAAAAGAAACATTTAGAAATGATAATCTGATTTCCAGACTTCAATACACAAGTGAATGGAATGTAAATTCGAATGCAAAACTGCATTCTCTGAGGCTGGCAGAGACTTTCTAAAATGAGTCCGTTTTTGGATGGGTCATTAGCTAGGTCAGGAGGAAAAACTTCTCGCGGCTCATTTCCAATTCGTCCCTCAAAAAAGTCGTCTGGTGGCACACCTTAGGCTGGCACTAAAACTAACTAAAGCTCCAAGATGCGATAGTACATCTTGCAGCCCTGCTTAGTTTTAGTGCCAGCCTAAGATTTGCCACTATACGACATTTTTTAAATACGGACACCAAACAGTCTTCTTCGCAGCCGCTTGGACCGGAGTCAGCAAAGCGCTGGGGAGACTAGGTACCAAACCATGGAATAAAAAGGTGTCGCTATGCATTTACATATAGTATACACTGTAGGAATTGTATGAAGTTTTAGATCTTCGGAACCAAAGAGAAACGTCCTGCGATAGAATTTAGGGTGCGCCCTAAAGAAGGTTTGGGCTGTATGGGACAAAACCCAATTATCCTTTTGTTAGGTGGATTTTCCAGCATGTAAAATGGTATCGTATTCAAAATTTAAGGAGTGTCATCTTGATCTTTCATCCTTTAAACGTAGTGCGGCTTTTCTAGGCAAACTTGAAATAGACGACTTATCGCTTAATTACTTTTTTAAAACAATGGTCTGTTGTTTATCACATGATCAACATGCCAATAGTACAATGCTGCTGACTCATTCCCACGGACTTACCGACATTAATTTAATTACTGCAGCATACTTGCCCGAAGAATCCATACCATCCACTGCACTGATCTTCAAACAAAAGCATCTCACTTTTGGCTCTCAAACAAAGGTTTGTTTTTAGATATCGTGTTTAAAAACATCATATTTATATTTGGGATTTTAAGGTATTATTCACTTATAAATTTATTAATTTGCGGTGTGTGTGGCTGTTGAAGTGTAAAGGAAAGGTATAGTCCTTTTCAAGCTTGGTCTAAAAGTGCTGGAATTGTCATATCGTCTGTTCATGCCTCGAAGAGGCGATTTTAAACTCGGATTCGACCGTATGGACGGGTTACAATATCCCCCTTGACTGGCATTTTAACTCTTTCTGCAAAGTCACGGCGAGGAGGTCTAGCCTGATTCTCAGACGTCCGAAGGGACCGCGAACGAATTCGGACGTCTGAGAATCAGGCTACGAGGAAGTCGAGATCGGAAATCGATTGGTTCTATTACTTATGAGTATTCTCTTCGATCTTCTCCATCTTCTCAGTTTATCCAGTTTGCATTAATGACTTAAGGAGCGGACTTTGTAGGGTGAAGTATTTCGCCCATAAAAATAATTGAAAACAATGGACTTCAGAAGGCGCGAAGGTGAAAGCATGAATGCTATTTCTAGTTATTGTCGAAAAATATGTCATGTCGCTTCTGTCCACCAGTCGGTTAGCGTCTGCAGTGTTGTTGGCAGTGGAGTGAAGCTAGCAAACTGAACAAACGAAGATAAAATAGCATAGCTAAGAAATGCCGTGTTTCTAACGCTTTCGCTAAAATCGCGTGACTTGTGGCAAAAATTTACAAGATTCGCGTGAATTATCCTTTAACATTCAGAACATTCCAGACGCCGCGACGGATGAAGGCTCCACCTACAATTCAAGCGTAACTTCTTTCGTGCCTAATCCATTGGTGTTTTCTTTCTTTTTTAGTGTCTTAAATGGATTGTCACTTAGCTTCAATTTGGAAATTTTATAAAAGGAATTTTCTGCGCGAAAAATGAACAAGTCTTGACCTCTTTAAAGACTTAATCTTTAGTAATCTAGGCTTGTAGCTTCTGTTTCGCGGCTGAACACTCAGATCCATCTATGTCGTCCGAATAAGATGTAACAATTTAAAATGAAGCAAGAAAGACTGATCTACACTAAACTGCTTTGTTGTTTCAAAAGTCGCGTGATTCTGCGTTAATTGGAATAGTGTATTGTCTTTGCATATACATATCAAGTGTTCTATTTACATACATTATTCATTTTCAATAATGATCAACAGCTAGCAAAGGAAGCACGTAATGTGTGTGTAACTCCTAGCAGGTACCGTAAACAGGATTATGAGGCCTTCCAAGGGGGGTAGCTGTGTCGCAATGTCGCTTGCTTTAGGAGACCGTTGTCGCCTAATCTACAGCTGCAAATGTCGCTGTCGTTTTTTGAAGTGTACGTAACTGTACCAGTCATTTTTGTTTTGCGAGAAACTGTTTCGCAACAGGGCTATAACAGGATTTTCATGGTGGTCAGTTGGCAAAACTTTGTGAACGGCGAAGGATGAACGCTTCTTCTTCTTCTTTAAGGGTAGGCTCCCGCGGGAAAATTTGGAAAATCTGAACCCTCAGAAATGCAATTTCCTGTATTCTGAGTCACTTTTATTGATAAAATGCACAACTTTCCAATGTCACCGTCGTTTTTCACTGTTTAGTATGTCGCTGTCGCATTTTAGCAGCGTAGGCATGTCACTTCTCGCTTTTTAAAAATTCCCATGTCGCCAGTTTTCAGGGCCGTGTCGCATGTCGCTTTTACCCCTTGGAAGGCCTCGATTATGCCGCTCCATTTTTAGACTTCCTGCCTGCATAGCAGCTCGTCTTTGTTAATAATCGCACTTCATGTACACGTTTGTTTGATTTTCATCTTCTTAGTGTTTAAAGATCTTTAAAACACTTCGACCAAACATGAACAGAGTGTTACGAAACAATGAATCATCTAACTGAGTAGCTAGACAATCGCACCCATCTACTTTGAAAGATCAATCAAATGTCAATTCAATCCAAGTCGATAGTTCTCTTGTTCACATCAGTATTTTCTTTTCCATTTTTAGTTTCTTCTTTCATGATTTTAAAATTCTTAAACTCAAGTCAAAAGGAATTTGCTAACAAGTCGGACACTCTATCAACAGTGAAGACGTCAAGAGTATGTTCACGATGGCGTCGTTTCTTGACCTTTCAATTTGATTTCTGTTTTTTCTTGTAAACACACAGCACCAACGTTGTTTAAATTAGTACATGAAACCTGCGTTTGAAGTGAAATAAATATCAAGTAATAACGAAAATAAAGCAAAAGAGACTGATCTACTCTGATTGGTTATCCTAATAGTCTAGTCCCTAACATCAAAACAATGCCTTATATAGGGGAATGCGGAATCCTTTTCAATCATAATCAATTGTTCCTTTTATAGGAAAGAATCACTTCACCTGACTCTGAGAAAGGACTTGACGCTCTGAGCTTCGTTTCTCTTACGACTTTCTCCAAGAGTCTAAAGGTTTGTTTTACATTTTTATCTACCTTCATTTTCAGCCATTCAGAGCTATTACTCACGGTCAGCTTTTGTTTGGAGTGTCGCAATCGTTTCTTAGCTGTGTATTCATGCAATCTGCAGCCAGAGAACTGCAAGAGGATTTTTTTCAGTTTTTGGGTTTAGTAATATCCAGTTTCCACTAACGACGTAAGGAGACTTTTTAACGCCTTTAATGTACACATTAATTATAAAGACTTGATAACGATGAAACACTTCGCTCATAAAAAAACATAACAATGGGCCTTTCAAGGTGCAAGCGTCTGAACACTATTTATAGTAAATTTCGAAAATTATGCCAAAATTTTTTCAAAATTCTGCAGTTAGTTCGGCTAAAATTTGAAGTTCGGTGTCTGTATTAACAGTAGTCCACAGCCGTTTCGAATTGATTCTGCTTCTGTGGAAGTGCGACGTCTGAATCGAGCCTCAAAGTACCTTTGTTGCTAGATGTTTCCTGCTATCGTTTATATTCTCATACTTAATATGACATCGATTGATTTGGAGCATTAAATGTTTATTCGGATTTTCGTATTGGACTCTCTATCTGAACCTATAAACAACAATATTTTAGTCCAAAAAATTATTTTTTCCTGCAGCGCGCATGAAAGTGCTCGAATTGCCATGGAATCAATATATACCATACACTGTAGGAAATGCATGAAGCGTTAGATCTTCGGAACCAAAGAGAAATGTTTGCAACAGAATTTAGGGTGTGCCTAGACTTTCTCAAAGTCCTTCGCTTCTCATTTCTTGTTCCGCGGTAGTTTTCCCGCTCTCTCGCTCGTTTTGCCGTAGAAAAAAATAAAAAATCTACCGCTCGCACTTCGCGCTCGTGAAAAACTTTGAGCTCTACTATCTTGTAGGCAAGTCTAGGGTGTGCCTAAAGAAGGTTTGGGTAGTATGGGACAAAGTCGACTTATCCTTTTGTCAGGTGGATTTTCCAGCCTGTAAAATGGTAACGTATTCAAAATTTAAGGAGTGTCATCTTGCTCTTTCATCCTTAAAACGTAATATTGCGGCTTTTCTAGGGAAACTTAAAATAGACAACTTATCGCGTCATTACTTTTTTAAAACAATGGTCTGTTGTTTCATCACATGACCAATAGTACAATGCTGCTGGCTTATTGCCACGAACGTACCGACATCAATTTACTGTATACTTAACTAGCCCGAAGAATCCATACCATCCACTGCACTGATCTTCAAACAAAAACGTCTCACTTTTGGCTCTCAAACAAAGGTTTGTTTTTAGATATCGTGTTTAAAAACATCATATTTATATTTCATAATATTTGGGATTTTAAGGTATTATTCACTTTCCCCGAGGCTATAAATATGTGGTGTGTGACCGTTGAAGTGTTAAGGAAAGGTATAGTCCTTTTCAAGCTTGGTCTAAAAGTGCTCGAATTGTCATATCATCTGTTCAAGCCTCGTAGAGGTGATTTTAAACTCGGATTCGACCGTATGGACGGGTTACAATATCCCCCTTGACTAGCATTTCAACTCTTTCTGCAAAGTCACGGCGAGGAGGTCTAGCCTGATTCTCAGACGTCCGAAGGGACCGCGAACGAATTCGGACGTCTGCAAATCAGGCTACGAGGAAGTCGAGATCGGAAATCGATTGGTGCTATTACTTATGAGTATTCTCTTCGATCTTCTCCATCTTCTCAGTTTATCCAGCTTGCATTAATGACTTAAGGAGCGGACTTTGTAGGGTGAAGTATTTCGCCCATAAAAATAATTGAAAACAATGGACTTCAGAAGGCGCGAAGGTGAAAGCATGAATGCTATTTCTAGTTATTGTCGAAAAATAGCTCATGTCGCCTCTGTCCACCAGTCGGTTAGCGTTTGCGGTGTTGTTGGCAGTGAAGTGAGCCTAGCAAACGGAACAAACTAAGATAAAGCAACATAGCTAAGAAACGCCGTGTTACTATAAACTCTTTCGTTAAAATCGCGGTACTTGTCGAAAAAATCCACAAGATTCGCGTGAATTATCTAATAACATTTAGAACATTCTAGACGCCGCGACGGATGATTATAGGCTCCACCTACAATTCAAGCGTAACTTCTCTCTTGCCTCATGCATCGGTTTTTTCTTTGTTGTTTAGTGTCTTTAACGGTTTGTCACTTAGCTTCAAGTTGTAAAGTTTGTAAAAGGAATTTCTCCGCGAAAAATGAACAAGTCTTGACTTCCTTAAAGACTTCTTTAATAATCTAGACCGAGTTGTAGCTTCTGTTTCGCGTCTAAACACTCAGATCCCTCTATGTCGTCCGAATAGAAATGTAAGAATTGTAAAATGAAGTAAAAATGTCTGATCTTTTCTAAATTGTGCTCAAAAGTCGCGTGATTCTGCGTTAATTCGAAAAGTGTATTGTCTTTGGATATACATATCAAGTGTTCTATTTACATACATTATTCATTTTCAGTCGGACACTCTTTCAGCGGTGAAGACGTCAAGGTATTTTGACGATGGCGTCGTTTCTTGACCTTTCAATTTGATTTCTGTTTTTTCTTCTGAACACACAGCACCAACGTTATGTAACCTGCGTTCGAAAGGAAATAAACCAATGACAACGTAAAGCAAAACAGACTGATCTACTCTAGATTGGTTATCCTAATTGTGTAGTTCCTAACAACAACACAACGCCCTTCAATAGAGGAATGCGGAATCCTTCTAAATCATAATCAATTGTTCCTTTCATAGGAAAGAATAGCGTTACATGACTCTGAGAGACGACACGCTCTGAGCTTTGGTTTCTCTTACGACTTCCTCCAAGAGTCTAAAGGTTTGTTTTACATTCTTATACTTCCTAGTACAGTTTCAGCCATTCAGAGCTAACTCACGGTCAGCTTTTGTTTGGAGTGTCGCAATCGTTTCTTAGCCAGGCTGTGTATTCATGCGATCTTCACCCAGAGAACTGCAAGAGGATTTTGGTCAAAAAAAATGTGTATGAGAGCTGCAACGAGCGTATTATAGTTCCACCTGACATTCAGAGAATCAAATCTCCCTGTTTTCAAATTGCGGTCACTTCATATTTTAATTCAAGGCCGAACATTTATTCATCTTATCTCGCAACTTCGCGTTCCTGATGACTTAGGCCACACCCATGTTAGAGACCGCGTACCCCGCAGTACAGACAGTACAACTTTCTGTAAACAGGCTCCGTATTTTGAAGCAGCTTAAACGCGTACGTTCCTCTCTTCTTCTGAGGTTTAGATATGCTGTGGACATCTGCACTTGGAGAGAGCCCCGTTTTTAATTTTACATTATACATTCTTAGGTTTTTACTTAGAGAGAATAATTTAACCAGACTACAAGTACATGACTGAGCTAGTGGCTGTGGTTATCGAAGAATCATCTAAAGAATCAATGACACAATCATGCAGTATGCAGTGATCTATAAAATTCTCAACAGGAATAAGTCACTGGAAAGCCGCTCACATGAAATACAATTTTATTCATAACTATGATTTCGTTCATCATGACAAAATTTGCCCCTTTCAGAAATATTCTTAAGATCTCCTAGATGAAAGTCATGTTAGACTGCGAGATTTCGACGTCATAGATCACGTCAGTAGCTTGCTTTCCACTTACAGTAAAAGACCAAAGAGTGTTGTTTTTGTTTTGGCTAGCTTGCAGTGCCCTTTCAATCGGATTTCATCGTCTTTCATACAATCAGGCAGCCAGAAGCAAGTACTGATCAAGGTATGATTTTCCATTCCTCAGATTATGTCTTAAGATCTTTAAGAATTACGTTTAAGGTGCCATATTTTTGTGAAGAGCAGAAAATTTTAACTTAAATCAAAAAACTTCAATGAGGTATCGTATTAAATCCTTCCCTCGGAACGGTAACTCTTTGAAATATCTTTAACAACTGATACAGAATTTCCAACGTGTTTATGTTTATACTTACACAGTCAACATTTCTTATGATAAATGTTCCACCACAGATCGATATACGATAGCGTGATTTATAATTTTTTTCAGACTAGAGGTTTTAAAGATAGAGTTTTCTGAACAGCGTTTATAGATATGTAGCACAAAATCTTCGATTCCGCGGTACCGTCCACTCCGTTCAAACATGTCAAATAAGGAATTTTTGCCGGTTAACCGAGCGGGTACTGGGACTATTTGTAGTCGATAAACCCTGATGTTCTCGAAGCCTTCAGAAGTGTTCTTTTGAGTTTGTAAGGTAAGTTGCCCTCCCCGATTTACCTGTAAGTTGTGAAGAAAAGTAAAAGAAAAGATGTTCAGGTCCTTGGTTAGCATATACAGTCAGCGTTTGGCAAACAATGTAGCTGATTTTTAATGAACTAGATGTTCTTTCTTCCAGATCGCAAAGATCGTGTATGATGTTCATGTGATCAGTGAGGTCAACATCAGCTGCGAAAGGTAAGCAGATTGCTTTGTTAATAAGGCATTTTCTTGTAGAAAAAAGGTCGCTGCTGGCGAGAAAATTATTATTTTTGTTTGATGTTCCCAAGACAAGTTTTATCACTACTTTAGGCACTGCTGTCTGCCGCCATGCTCGCAAAACTACTACTAGTATTAAACTTAAGGCTTCTATTGTGGGTAACAGGGTGGTCACAACGTCCCGCTTCCCGCCCGTACCCCGTTCTCCCCCGCCTCCCGTTTTTTGTCCGTTTGTCTCCCGACTCTCGCCCTTTATTGTGTTTTTGCCGTTATCATGTAAATTTAAAAGATCAGAAGCCCCGGTTTAGAGTTATAGCTGTGGGGTAATTTGCCAAATATGAAAATTGTTACAGGTGAGTTTTCTTAGTTAAACTGAGTTTTCACGAACCAGGTTATCTAGGTTTGACCATCTCTTCTGACATCCCTCTACAACGACAATGGTCTCAGTCCACTGTGCAGTGTAAAAGCTATCGCAGTTATAAAAAATGTGTCCAGGTTGTGCAATGTTAATCATTAACTGAATTGTCTGTATTCATAGCTTCACGAGTAGCAACCATGCTACTGATATTCCTCTCGCAAAATCATATTCATTCAAAAGTTGATAAATTTGGTGATGCCTTTGCTTGAGAGAATTTAAGTACATGTACTACTATTGTCATTTAGCGACTGTGAAAAATGTAAAATTACAGTGCGTTGTATGGGAAATCACACCTACCGTACAGTTCGTAATCTTTTGCTGTAATTACTTTGTTGTCTATGAAATCCAACCTTACAGCTGCTCCCTATGCTGTTTAACTCCCTATTCTAATAGGGAGTGCTTTGGCCTTGTCCAAAAATAAAAAAAAGGGTTGTAAATTGAACCACTCCACGCTCTCCAGTGCGATCATTGATTAGTGGCAACCCTTCAACCCAAGTTTACACCACGCAGCAAAATCTTCAGTGTTTTGTGATCTACAGTTGTATGGAATGAGCTCGTAGGAAGGTCTTCCATGGATGGATTTTTCCCCACCACACCGAAAAATACTGAGATCGATCAAAATGGTCTTTGATGACATTTGACATTTGACCTGAGACTCACTTTGTCATTCTTGCGGAGAATTTTGACAGCTGGCGAGACAGACAAGAGACACTGACACGACTGACACAGTCGACACACCTGTACATGTGTCATACCGTCTCATTCATGACCTGTTATGTAAGCGGCTTGGATCAAAGGTTTCCAACTTCATCCGAAGTTACAAATGCTGTTTTTTTTTGTTGTTGTTGCGAGTACAAATTTTCGTGTTTGACTTTTCTCTCATATAAACTTTTGCTTTAAGCCTTGTAGAAGGTTAAATGGAAGTCAAAAAACATTGTTGGGTTTGTTTCTTTGACTGGATGATAAGCAGTATCAAATGATGAAAGCTTGCCTCTTTGAATTTCTCTCCTGCTTTCCGCCCTTTCTTCTACCGTCTCCCGTAACCCCTCCTGCCCCCTATTCTCCTAGGCTCCCGCCCCCCTGTTCCCCCCCTCTACTATATATCTCTTTCAGTCAAATCGTAACCCGTGGAGTCAAATTTAAGTGAATCAAACAGGCAAGAGGTGAAGAAGTAATTCCAGGGATCACTTGTGTTATTTGAGGATGAATCTGAAGTATTAAAAACTAACTGGTTATGTGAAACGGTTTTAAGTGCATGATATTTTATTTGATTTTTTCACTTTTGTAGACCAGCTACCAAGATTCTGAAGATGTCCACCTGACAACACAAGATTAAAATTATGCTCTTGAAAGTAAGTTTATTTTCACTTTGACCGCTGTTATTAGTGTGCAGATGTCTGATATATCTCTGAACCAGATAATAGTTTACGAGTGTTTGACTTACAAACCTGGAGGAACTTCACTGTTGAGACTGCCAGATATAATGGCTCAGTCAATTCCAAGCATGCCCATCGCCCCTGGCATTTGTCATTTTTTTTGGAAAAGCTGCAAATGCCCCACGGTGGGGCTGGGCCTTCATACAAAAACCTATGGTGGGACTTAAAATAGGGTGCAGATGCCCCACCCCGGGACAACACCAGAATTGCATTTTCCAGTAAATAAGCTCCAAATACCATATTTATGGGAAATCTGGAACCGTTGAATTGTCACATTGATCGTACAATACACAAAGTTTGTGTTATGCTTTCAAATAATATCACAGAGTTTTTCTAGGCCCTTCTGCCTTAGCCTGCCAGCAGGCTCACTTGTGCGAGTTTGGGGAAAATTTTCAGCAGCGGACCCACCAATGAGCTGAGAGAAAGTGAGCCTGCACGCGAGCCATTGAGTTTTGAATACCCCACGTTCACTGACAAACGCAGCGATCTAATTGTTTAAAAGTGGTAAGCGTCTACGGGCAACATAATTATGACAAAAACCATGGACACACGGCTCTAACATTCACACATCATAATGATAAAAAGCTACGGTAGGCCTGCACTACTTTCCTCAAATGCCACTTAGTTTGCAATGGGTAGATTATTATGCGCTGGAGAATTCTTGATTTGGACTAAGCAAATTCAGTAGCCTATTATTGTCACTTTTTGTCTCACACTGCATCATTCACGCAATGCAAGGTCACGTTTAAAAGCTCGCCTGTTTCTATTGGGCATAATGCTGTAGGGGGATTCTTAATTTTTACAGAGCAAATGTTATTTTTGCCGCTTGTCGAAATGAACGTGTTCTGCTTCACGCAATTTGATTTCTTTGGTGTTGTTTCTGACCAGATTTGACCTCTGATGCAGTTTAGCACAACATCTGCACGTGCAACTTCCTGTCAAATTGTTTACATTAATTGCTGCTCCTATTGGATATTATCTTGACACCTTGAAAGGGCGTAATTCAAAAAGAAATAATAGTGGTGTAACGATTAATCGAATTCTCAGTTAATTGTGATTATGACCGTTAAGTTCAATTCATGATTCTTTACTTCCACGTTTCGATTTTGATTTGATTTTTGCATACCTTTTCCAGGGTGCTCTCAGTGAGTTATGATATTGTAAAATCAGAATCCAGAACTCTTTAAAATCTGCGTTTTTGATTGATGAGCAAAGACGATTGCAGTTTGTGTGCCATTTTGCATTGCCTGGAAAAATGCTGTCCTTTGACAACCACTTGATAATTTCCAAATAAGGCAAACCAGGTGCAAAACTGAGGTTCTCAAACATGACGCAAATACGACCATTAGCGGCTGTGAATCCCCCTGTACGTTGTCCCTAAATACTATTCTCAAATTGAGGGTTTTTGGACCCATGTTGTTTATAATACGCATTATGTTATAAGAATTAAGAACCGTTACAAAATCAAATCGAAATAATCGAAATCGATTAGGCAATAATCAAAATCGAATCAAATCGCAAGGAATATGAATATTGTTACACCCCTAATCAATAGCCCACCTGCAAGCTCACTTTTCCTCGCGCTGGCAAAATAATTTTCGCTGACTTTGCTCATTTGTGAGGCCTTCTAGGGGACTATTTCTGCCTCGACAAATTCACGTGCAAAGGAAGTGTCTTTCCCTTTAAACTCTTGAAATGATATATTGATTGTTTTCCTCCATGTGCGAGCTGATCATGATGGTGGGAGGCAATTTCTAAGTTAAAAAACGCGGCTGCAAAAAATACTGAGGGGTAGGGAAGTGATAGAGCAAAAACTGTGCATAATTTTTTAAAGCATAGACATTAAAAATATTGTTTATAAAGCTATCTAAATTGCCTAATTTCATACCACATGGGGGCCTGTCATAGCACTACTGGATTTTCCTGGACTAATATTTAAAAGTCCATCAGTTTCAAAATTGTGGATGGTCAGAGTAAAGAATCCAAAGAAAGCATGTCATTTTCAAAGAAATATTGATCAATATTCCCTCAGAGAGTCAGCCTAAACTTAGCAAGGAAGGCTGATTAGTATTTCTGCAAGGCCCTGAAGCTAAACTTATTCCAGTTCAGCGAGAAGAAAGAGCTTGTCCTATCAGTCCTTAAATATGTGATGACTAAAGCCACTCTGCAGCTGCACTTAGCAACTGCAATTTATTGTTTGATGAAAAGGTCACTCGAATCCAAGAGATTATAAATTTTCTACAGCACAGGATCCTCTGCTTAATTCCACCGGCATCTGTAAAGTTACAAGAGAGGATCATTGGCAAGAACACAGATGTAATCGTGTACGTACCAATTATCGTAAACCTAGGCAAGTATGCTGAAGGAAATTAAAAGGGCAGTGCAGAAGGGCTAAAATTAGCTGGATTATTCCTGTCGACAAGAGAGTATTATGTCCGTGAAAGCTACTGAGTGTAGTGAACTTTCTGGTGTTATGTTAAAGCCAGTGTTTTTAAATTCCTTGTTAGCCACTGCAGCGCTATTTGACATTTTACCACTGAATATATACCTGTCTTGAGGAGTGTCTAAATTACTGGAATTACAATTAATGTTGGAAGGTTACAGAATCACATTGCCCGGCCTCACAAAGAAACTATATAAACAATTTATGATCCTGCAAAAAAATTGTTTTGTTTATTATAACATATTGCTCAATGCGTGATGTTTGGTCACAGGAAAACTAACTTGCAATGTCCCCAACAAAATTAACGTACGACATTAGTAGATAAGCTTTGTTTCTGTTGAACACTCGATCTGTATCATGATGACGTAATGTTTTGTGAGTTAACCTGCACTTAACTCCCTATAATCTGAATTAATTTATGTTTGATGGCAACACAGTACAGTGGTGATCCATTAATTGTACAAATAAAACTGGCCGTGAAAAATGAAAGGATTGGAAAGATTACCTTTTCCCATTTTATTGAAGATCTTATTTTTAGAAGGGAAAAGGTCATAATTTCAACTAAAAAATATAATCAACATGCACAGAGAGTAATGAAGAGTATAATTTTTTTTGAGGTATAATGTGGTTTGCAGTTCTTATATTTTCACTTGCTGTTTCCCTTATTGTTTTATGTTTGGCAATAAATGGCATGGGTCTCTTAACTCCTTAATGTACTTCCTGCCTGCCTGTTTTCGTACCGATACTCGATTTTGTATACAAGATATAAAAATAGGGCGGGGACTCAATCAATGAAATCATATTCAGTCTGCACTATAATGCTGAATCTTTTCTTGAATTGTCTCACTTGTTTCATATCTGCCCTTGCTCTGATCTGAGTGTGTAGGTTTCATAGGTACTCAAGCTTTATTTGTGATGGCTTTTGATTTCCGGGGGTTCTTTTCACATACCATTTCTGCAGCCAGCTGCATGATCAGGATATGATAGAACTGAACCAAAAGAGCTATTGTGTGGCAACCCAATCTATTCTTACTGACTGGATTAAGCTACAATTAATACACCTTACTGGACGAGAAAAGCCTGATCTCTAAAAAAACTTAAGTATACTTGCTTATCTATGTTCGGTGAGAACTGCTTCCAGTCTTTCGGATTTCTATGAAAGTCCGTACGCAGCGACAAAAATATAGTTAGCCAGGGTTCGAAATTAACGGTTGTCCGGTTGTCCCGGACAACCAAAATTACGATGGGGCAACCAAATTGTGCTAAGTGGTTGCCCCTTGGGCAACCCAATCTGTCGTGGCACTAGTCCTTAATGAGGACTTGATAGATTTGAATAAATATAACAGCTTGTTGTCTTTGGAGAGTAAGCGATACCTAAACTAAGTTAGTGGAAAGAAAAGGAAAAACGCGGAAGAAATACTAAAGTATCACGTACACTACCGTTGGAAACCGAAGTTCGTTTTTGCACAACATTCTTATTTGAATGAGCCTGTTGTGCTTTAATCAGCGGTTGGTACCAGTAAACACAGTTCATGATGCACTAGTGAGATCCGCTCCGTGATGCCGCCATGTTTGTTTCGACGATGGCAATTTACCATTCATCTTATTATTATCATCTTAGTTAACATGAGCCTCTGCCGCTACTTCGGCCGTGAGAAAGTGAAGGCCGTTGGCGATAACAACAATTTGGAAGCCACGAAGAAAGATGATGATCAAAGCAATTAATGCTACGGGTGTCGCAAAATCTACAGCAGAATTAGGCGAGGCGCAAGAAAGTTCAAGAAAAAGGTGTCGTACATTTCAAGAGTCGTGGAAGACTAGAAGACTCTGGCTGAAATTTGACGAGAAAGAAAACGCTATGTTTTGCAGTTATTGCAGACAGTTTTCGAAAGATAAATCTGCCTTTGGGAGCGAAAAAACGACGAGACACAGGCTGGTCAAAACGTTTTATTAAGATACTCTTGAATACAGTTCACTGTATTTGTATTTCATTTTCTTGTTCAAATTAATAAAAGCCACTGTTTAGCTATACTACCTGTATAAGTTTCTTGGCTTGAACTGGGGCAAGAGCTTGGACAACCAAAATATTCTATGGGCAACCAAACCAAGTCTTGTGGTTGCCCCAGGGGCAACTGGACATAAAAGTAAATTTCGAACCCTGTTAGCCTTATGACCTTACGATGTTGCCCTATTCTCTTTGGCGTATTTTGCTTTTTGGTAGTCTTTATTTTACGGTTTGTAATAACAGGTACACCCAATTCCTTGTCATTCCCAACTATTTCATCGGATCCAGCGCTGTGGTAAATAAGCTAAAATCGACGGTTCTTAATGTTCAAATTTTCGTCGAACAGTTCAGGAATCCTTCCGTGACTTCCAACTGGAGCAGTCTCCCAACTGAGATCTTTCTTTTTTTGAAGTTTTTAATCAAAGTTCTTTATACTAGCTAGTAAAGTGACTGTTCTTTGCTGTATAATAGTAAGTTCCTGGAGTAATCTGCAAGTGGCCGTAACTGTTTCAACTGCATGCAATGACCTTTGCTTTACTGCCAAGTTATTATAAATTATTTTGGAAGTCATTTTGAATCCAGAATTGAAAAAGACTGGGAAAATCCGGTAGTGCCAGGTCCCCGCACAGTATGAAATTAGGCAATAGCTGGTATATTTTTTAATGAAGTATTGAAAAAGGAATGGCGTTAACCGCTTCTAGAAGAATTGACAAATGCTCCACCCCCGGGCAGAGGTTTTCTGACAAATCCCCATCACTGAGACCTACAAGATGACAAATGCCCAACGAATGCCATCCCCCCCTCCTCAGCTAAGGGAGGGGTGGAATTGGGGGAAATGGGCCACTTAATGGAATTGGCTGAGCCATAAGCTTAATGAAATTAAAGTTTCAATTGATAATTTTGGCTTGAAAATAAGGGTATTATCTCATAATTTGATGTCATCTTTACAATTTTTTATTTCAGGATTTATGTCAGTCAAATAATTATTAATACATACCGTAAGTTGTACGGTGTGAAGCTATCAATGAAGAAGGTAATTCAGCTGAGTTTATTGTTCTAAGTTGATTGCAGTAAAAAAACCTAACTCCCATCATTAGAAAAACAAGATTACAGTAGAGAAACTTGTTATTACTTACCCTCAGAGTTAACAACTTATTGGAAACTTGCAGAGCTATTTGAGAGGCATGTTTGACCTCTTCGAGCACTGTGTTTACAGTGCAGCCACACAAACTGAGGTCACCCAGACAAAATTTTGAAACAAAAAATTTTGACATTAGCTGATCACAAGTCGAGATCTAAACAATGAAATTGCACTTACTTGTACTCAGAGCCAGCTCAAAATACATTGCAAACCATTATTTTTTCCAAATGAAATAAATGAGGAATCATGATGTTTGTATTAATCAAGCTGTGTGCCATTGCCATGAAATAAGCAGCCATCACCTTTAGTTGGGATTGCTCAAACTTTCTTTATTGCTGGCCTTGATTTCGGCCAACCCAGACGTTGTCAAAACATTTTTAATAGAATTATGCAGAATTTCATTGTTTAGATCTCTACTTGTGACTGGGTAAAATTTGTCTCAAAATTGTTCCTAGGTTGTGGCCAGTTGGTTTGCATGGTTACATTGTAATGTGTAATATATGTGAACACCTTAATCTTGTACCTGTAGGTAGACACCTTTCCTGGTCACAGTGGTATACACTTATAATAGCGAGAGGTTTGACTCTACATAAATTAAGCTGCAACAATAATTTTTTCAACAATTTAAGTTTTGTTATTAGTTACTCAAGTTTTACAAATGTGCTGATCGTTATAAATTAATAATTATCATATTTTACACACTTTCATAGGGAAATCTTTAACTGAGACTCAATGGCGCAGCATCAAGACCTTAAAAGAAAAGGAGGTGCTGATCCTGATCATCAGATGTCAAGAAATCACACCCCTCCTCCTCTAAGTATTGAAGTGCCTAAAATGAGAGATCTTCCAAACATGTCAAACCCTTGGAGTGATGTCCAGCTTCCTGTTGACATTCTTCTGTTGACAGTGAAAGACTGCGAGTTTTTAGCTTGTTATACTTTCCTGAAAAACTCTTTTAAAAGTTTTCACGAGACTCTGGGATACGTGTACTTTGGGACCATGGGTGGAAGTGGAGAAGAGGCACTAAAAGTTGCTTTAATGAGATGTCATGAAGGCTGTTCTGCTCCAGGTGGCTCTCTAGTCACTGTTATGAATGCAGTGCGGGAACTGAGACCCAAGGCTGCTTTCTTGGTCGGCTTTTGCATGGGATTAAACCCACAAGCCACCAAACTAGGAGATGTAGTGTTATCCTCCAAACTTTTAACTGAAGAAATCACAGCTCCGGTGAAAAGAAATATCGGCAACCTTAACTTGTTTGCAAGTGAAGGCTGGAAACCACCATTACAAAATCCAGTAGGTGAAGAAACTGAAGTACCTGAGGTACACCGTGACAGTGGCATATTATGTGGCAGTCAGTTATTCATCACCAAACAATGCTGTATGTCTCAATCTCACGTTATTGCAGTTGAAAGGGAAGGGGAAGGTAAGATTATATGCATATATATTACTATTATAACAATTTGTAGCAATTAGATTTGAGGTCTGGAACTCTAAATTGTCCCTCGGCAACAGCTTGTAACATATTATTGTGCAGGGAACATTAAATTATTAAGCCGAAAAGATTATCAGTTTTAGTCACTACACTTCAGAGAAATATTTTGAGCTAAAAATCAGCTCTTCTAGATTCTTGTTCACAGTGGATTGAATAAGGGTCATTTTCATATTGTATGATCTGTTTTTTCTTTCCACTTACAGGACTGTTTGCTGCAGCCCATGATATGAACATCGAATGGGTGATTGTTAAAGGGATATCACATTTTTCTGATGATAGCAACACTCCTGACAAGTCCTGGAAGTCATTTGCTTCTATCATGGCAGCTTCTGTTGTGTCCAACATGTTAAATGATACTGTTGTTTTTAAAAAATGGCCTCACTACGAAGGTATGTCACATCCCAACCTTTTCTGATTATTACAGGGTGTCCCAAAAGTTCGCTATAAGCTACTTTACAAGTATGTCTTTCAGTACAATTGGACTCGGTAAGCATTCATTTAAAGAAAAGTAATGTGTCTTTCAATCTAATTCACTATTCTCGTATTTGCTGTGCCATCTTTTGACTCGAATATTCCAGTTGTGTACTTCCGTGACAAAGGTGCATGTGCATGAGTATATTTTCCAGCCACATATTTTTGTATTTTATAGCCCGATGCTCGAACTCCTTCCTGGTTTTTTGTGAATGTCGCAAAAGCATATATACTTCGATTTACTGGCTTATATCTGTTGTAGAAACTACCGAAAAGTGAAAAATGCGATTGTTGGTTGGTAAAATGATCGTGGAGAAATGAAGGTTTTGAAGGCAAGTAATAAACAGGAAGACCAAAAGTCCTGAATAAATTAAAGCAGCTAAAATAGTTTTAAAGAAGGCTAGATACAAAAGAGGAGACTCGACGAGGAAGCTCTCAAGCAAGCCAAGTCCAGAAAGGGTCATGAAAGGAGAATGTTTAGAATTTATAGAGGCCCCTGAGAATGGAAAAAAAAACCCTATGCTTTAAGCCTGCCAAGTAACGCCCAGCTCTCTTCAAATTTGTAAAGAAGTACAAAAGCCTTATTGTTGTGAAAGGGGGCCGGGATGATTATCATTTTTGGATGAATGCCCAAAATATATATTTTTAGCTGCCTTGAATTACTAAACAAATATTGTTTGGGGGCTGATCTGGCTCCTGCGCACCTGGCAGGTGATGAAAAAGCTCAAAATGGCAACGGCTACAGAATGTGATAAAAAACAAAACAAAACAAAAAGGGCATTCTAGTTACTGAAATTCTGAATACATGTACTCGATAGAGAAATAAACATGCTCTAGAAAATTCATGTAAAAATAAAGTTTTGATCAAAAGTTATAGTGAATGAAATTAGAGGAACGAACTTTTGGGACACTCGATCTGTAATTTAAGTGATCGATGACTTTTCTGTTCAAATATTTTTATTTAAACTGGTTCACATTTTTTCTCTGCATGTTTCAAACTCAAATCATACATTAATATTAAAATAACAAAGGCCAAAAGACAAATTTGTTTTTGGGGTTTTTCAAGTTTACAATACTTTTTTTCTTTACAGACTTGACAGCAAAGAATCAGCCACAGACAACCAGGAAGCCAGACAAGCAGATACCAGGTACATGTAACTATCCTGTCAATGAAATTACACTATATCCAGGCGTTTTTCCAGATTAAATGATTGAACACTGCAGGTTTCAGTAGAAATAACACTAATCTTTCAATATAGTTGTTTGTCCCATCTAGAGCACAGTTTTGTCTTATTATTGTGAGATTTGTCTTTGTCAAGGGACCAGTCTATTTTTGCCTGGTATTTTATAACCCCTTTTTCAGAAATTTGCTGAAAAATGCTGTTGGAAGCTCATTTTTTTATCCATTTTCTGATCGCTATCTGGCCTAAAAGATTGGCCAAAATTTTTTAAAATGCTGTAAGTCCAACACTACGCTGCCTTTTGTTCCTTATGCTAAAATAAAATTAATGTAAGTGTTGTTTTGAAAAGAGACACAACCACCTCAACTTTCTGCTGTTGCTTTCTCTCCTCCCTACTTCTATCACTTTCCCTGCCCCATTTTTGCCTTATCTTGGGGATTTACTAGGCTTCTTTTAGGTGAGACATGTTTTTGGGAAAACATTTAGCACCATCAAATTATTTTGAAGGAAGAGCAGATGGGAAATGAAACTTCTTGAAAACATTCTTGTCTTTGTTTCAGCTGTGTTTGAAATTATTTCAATAATTTAGGAACTGTCTAAGGAAATCCACAAAATTGAAAATGATGTTGTGGTATAGTCTCAGTCTGTCTGTCCACCCACCCACCCACCCATCTACAGCTAGCTCTGACCTGCTCACCATATGAGTCACCCATAGCTCAGTGGTTAGAGCATCCTACCAGTTTCTGGAAGGTTGTGGGTTTGATTCCAGTTAAGATTTTGGATTTTTTTTTCTGAGCATTTCATTGTTGTACCTAATATTTATTTTTGGTAATCATTCATCCACGTGCTGTTTTCTCTTATTAATTTTTGTAAATTGACTCTGCCCCTCCTGGTAAGGGTTGCTAATCAAGTGAATCAACTACTATTAATTATTGAAAAAAAAACTTCTTGGGATTGACAAACGATCCTTGTTAACAGGTGCTGCTGCTGTATGCCTTGAGGAGTGCCAGAAACAGCTGCGATCACTTTACGAAACCAGTAGCAAAGTCAAAATCATTCCATGGGACCAGAACTCTGCTGTTGATATTGACAAGATCTACACAGACTTGTCTTGGGTCAAGGATTGCAGGACACCCAGTGGAGTAACACAAAAGGAACTTGACCACTACACTGAGATTTTTGGCGCTCGTCCTGCGCTAAAGCGAATTTTGGTTTATGGACAGCCAGGTAAGTGAGTGAATTCAGAGTAAGAATTGTCTTAATTTAATTAACAGGAGAAAAAAGTATTCTCTGCCCTCGCCCGCCTTTATTACTTTACATGCTCAACCAAAACCGCCATGCTACTTAGGCTAGGGAAAAACAAGAAAACAGGAACCCATTGTACTAATGTTCTACTTGTATAATTAATCCAGCGATTTATCAGCTGGTGCATACATGTTGCAGGTTTCTTGAGTTTTTTTGCTGACATTATGTACAATCCAAGTGGGGTAATTTTTTACCATGCTGTCAAACCCAATGAAAAGTTTGATTTGTTGCTGTTTTAAATAAATTAAAAGTTTAAACAAAGTTTTTCTGTTAACCAGTCTGATAATAAACAATGCATGTATTTAATTGACTTTAGAGCAATCAGAACATACAATGTAGACTCCAGTTAATGTTGTGATAATGGTAATAATATATACACCTTATTCGATGGTTTAGCATATAATATACGTGCAGATATTTTGCAAGTTGCGTAGTATTTTTCCGTGCCCCGCAGGGGCAAGGAAAAATACGAGCAATGAGCAAAATGTCCGCTCGTATTATATGCTAAACCATCGAATAAGAGGTTTATTATTCCACTACAAAAAAAAATTATCTGGCAATTTGCTTCTATTTTTTGGTAAGAGTATTCAGAGACATCCTGATTCTGTCTGTGAGAATGACGTTAACAATTAGCAAAATGTTCGCGCGTATTATATGCCAAACCATTGAATGAGAGGTTAATTATTTTACTGCAAAAGAAAAATGGTATTTTGGCTTCTATTTTCTAATGAGAGTATCCAAAACATCCTGATTCTGTCAGCCACAGTTGCTCCTTTTGCATCCACCGGTATTCGCCCGTTGTAAACCGGTTAAACCAGAACACTACGGTGTATAATTTACGGCCTCGTATTTTGCTTGTTCTCTTGACCTTATATGGTAAAATGACATAATAGTGAAATAATAATGTGACTTAATTAATCTGAAATTCAAGTTTATTAAATGTATGCTAAAAGGATAAAACTCAAAAAAAATCTTCCAAGGATAAAATTGTACCATAGCCTTCACAATAGACTAATGGTCACTGGCAGTTTGGCCCAGTTAGTTGAAAGCTGTACCGCAAACCTGGGCTGAGTTGCTCAAAGCGTGGTTAGCTTTAACAATTGGTTAAGCAGTATCAAAACCAATACGTTGTAAAGGTATTAAACGCTGGTTAACGCTAACCATGCTTCGAGCAACTGGGCCCTGGGGTTAAATTTTAACCCGGGTTTCTTTTTCTTTTTAACAAAAGCATTCTCTTGGATAATTTTCTCTTTTCTTTTTAGAGTATCGAATCATAAAATATAGACAATTAAGAGTGAAACTGAATTTGCTTTTTAAGCTTTCACCCAGGTTTGAACAACCTGGCCCTAATAATAATAATAATATAATAACAATATCCTGAGTACAAGGTCAATCAGTATAACCAGAAACTCATAAGGGGTTGAATCAACCTCTTCTGAGTTTCTGGTATAACATCATCATGGATGTCCTTGGAGGCTGTTCGAAAGAGGTTGAGCAAAATATAAAAGAGCTTAATTGTAGGAGGCAATCCTGTCTAGTTCATTACACATTGCTAGAAAGTTCAAGATGAAAAGTTAGATATCTATAAGAATTTTGGACACCTTTTTTAACAGATGCTTAATCTTGAACATTATCGAAATTTTATTGACATACCTTAGACGTTCTCATAGTTCAATGGAAAAATTAAACCGTAAAATTCCGAAAATAAGCCACTCCATGTATAAGCCCCTCCAAATAAAAGCCGGCCCCCAAAATTGTAATGCAAAAATCCCTCCGTTAAATCGCCCCTCCGGAAATAAGCACCCCGGGGAGCTTGTACTTGGAATTTGCCCTCGAATACAAAGCAAAACAAAGCAAAAAAGGTAAATTTCCATCCCACTACAAGCTAGCCCAATCGATTCTGAAATGCAAATTTCCCTCCGTACATAAGCCCCTCCGAATATAAGCCCCTCAAAAAGGCCCTTTGAAAAATGTAATCCCCGGGGCTTATTTTCAGAATTTTATGGTTATGAGCGATGGTTTTTAACTTATGAATATTTTTACTTTATAATTAAGATGTCCATGAAGCTTGTAGGATTTATTTATTTATTTATTTATTTATGACATTTTTATGAAATCATTTTTAGCCGGGATTTTTTTTGGCGCAAATTATTGTAATTGTTACTACAAATTTGAGTTGATGCTGCGCCTGGTTATGGTTTGCCGCCCAGCCAAAGCTTTTAGTTTTTACTCTGGGCATCCAGACGTTTGTACTGCCACAATAATAATAACTTCATTCTAGTGTCAATGTATTAAGCTTAACAGTTAGCTAATTGGAGACACTTTTTTAAGTGCTGGCACTAATCTATTAGATAATTTTTAAGACTAGTCTGTGTATGAAGGATTCATTTCCATTGTCTTTTTCACGAATAATTTTGAATATGTCAATGAGATCAAAGCTAAGAATTTCAAAATGTCTCCTTTGAGGCAGGGAAACTTCTTTTCGGCATAACTTTAGAGGCAAATGCCACCCATATGTTGTTCACTCTGCATTGGTTTAAAAAGTTTAAACATAATTCCGTAAAAAATAAAATAAAATAAAATAAATTCTCCTAAAGTTTTATGACAATTATAAATTCACATTTCAATATTTTAGATTCCAGTTCACGTCACTTCACATGATAAAAGTAAACTGACAAATCTGTTGAAGACGTATTGACAGTTTGTTGTTATTGTCACCTAGGTATCGGCAAGACTGTTTTCACGAAGAAAGCAACTTTTGACTGGTCCCAGCAGAGATATTCAGAAACATTAGGAGCATTTGATCTTGTCCTTCTGGTGAGATTACGTGATGTTAGTAATCTCCAAGATGTTCCTTCCATTCTGAGGGCTTCTGAAGTGCTGGATAGTAATGGTGCAATTTCCGTACACAAGCTGTATGATTACATTTGTCTCCATCAGGAAAAAGTCTTGCTTATCTTGGACGGCTACGATGAATATGTTAACAGTTCAGAAAACGAGTCGCCTGTTTTCAAAATCTGGAAAAAAAGCCAATTAAGAGGTTGTTGTGTTGTAATCACTTCAAGGGAAATGAAAGCTGAGACGTTGACAAAGTTTAGTGATGCTCAATTCAAAATTGACGGCTTTAATTATCAGCGCCAAGAAGAGTTCGCCCGTAGATTTTTGAAAGATGATAAAGATATTGAAGATTTTTTTATGTACTTATTGCAGCACAACGTAAGTGGACTAGCACAAATTCCCCTTCTTCTCGTAATGCTGTGCTTGCTCTGGACGGAAACAGCACGTGAAGAACTACCAAAGGAACGCGCAGACATCTTCGCCCAGTTCATGACGACCATGTTTGATCACATGTGTGAAAGACAGTCTGTTGAAGAATCGGTTTCTGCCAAAGATTACTCCGATGAATTATACGCATTAGGACGCTTGGCCTTTGAAGCCCTTTTGCAAGGCCAGCTTTATTTCCCTGTTAGTCAGTTACCTGCTGGCTACAGTTTGATCGAGAGGCTGATTGAAGTCGGCCTTTTTCAGGTTTTAAATATGGCGAGTTTGAATCGTGAACAAGGCTTGTACTTTATTCACAAATCCGTTCAAGAATACTTGGCTGGGAATTTCCTGAAAGAAGAGCTGACATCTGAAAAGGCTGAAAGCACAAATTCCCTTTTAAAGTTGGACTCAGTTGAAAAGATCCAAGAGATGATTGAGGTTTTAAAATTTGCTGTTCAGTTGTCAGAAGAAGCCGCGCGCGACATTCTGATTCAACTTGGAATGGCGGCGAAGAAAGAAGATCTGACAGAGTTTCGCTTCGACAACGAAACACCGTCAGAGAATGACTTGTCAGAAGAACAAACACATTTTATTAATCTTTGTAATCAGTTATTTTTCTACTGCTCAGCTGAGACAAGAAAAAAACTCTTTCCTACATTTCTTTCCTCTTTAGGAGGAGTTTTTGTAATTAATGAAGAGCAGCTAAATGTTATCGTAGAGGAAAAATTAGTTCAAACTACCGAAAAAACACCCAACTACGTTTTTTTTAATTATAACGAGTATACAGAGCAGGACTATAGTAATTTTATAATTTTATTACAACAATTAAACGCAGTTATTGTTAGCTCTGCAGGAGAAAAGAAAACATCAGAAATTTTAAGGAACTCAACATGGCGTGAGATTACTGAATTTTTTTTAAAGAAAGAAGAAAACAACACTCACCTTTATTTAGCTAAAATTGTTACACTTAACAGTGAAATTAGAGGCATTCCTTTTCCTTGTGATATAATAAAGGCGCTTATTAGTAAACAAGAGACAACAAAGAAGACAAACATGAATGGTGATGAGTCAAGTGAAGAGAGCAGCAGCAGCTGTTGTTCAAAGCGTCATGGTCTCTCCAGGGTTCGGAGGATTGAAGCTTGGAATGTGAACAGGTCAGAAGTGGAACTGATGAGTCAGATGATGCTGTTTATGCCCGCTCCACACAAGATATGCGTTCAGGGTAAACCCGGTGAAGTGTTCGATGCTGAGGTAGCAGAGTCTCTGCTGAGGAGCATCCAAGTAACACACAAACTGAAGATACTAACACTCGAGCATATCAATGTAACATCATCACCTGCTGTGGAGTTGTTCATCAACAATGTATTTAAAAAAGCACCAAACTTGGAGGGGCTCAACATGTCATTCAATCCTCTTCCGGGTGCAGGAGTAGACAGTTTGATTAAACATCTCAGCTGCGCTCCTCACCTGAAGGAACTGGTGCTTTACAGAGTGAAGATGACTCCACAGCAGGTGATGGATCTGACATCAGCCATCAAGCAGCACAGCAACATCACTTCACTGTGGTCAGACTACCACGTAAGTTTTCCAATTTTATCGCAATTTGTTTCTTTATTCTTTGTTTACAGTTTATTTCTACTCAGCTCTTGCCTTTCGCCATTTTCCTTTCGTTGTCATTTTTATACTCGACAAAACACAAAATTTACTTTTGAAAACAAATCACAAACTTTAGCAGATTCAAAGTATCATTTCAAATTCATTCCTTTCAATTGATTAAACTAAATCCAAAAAAATGTTTTAACCGAGAACAAGTAAATAAATCTGAAGGTGTTTTCACTGTACAAAATAATGGATCACCCAGCAGATATGAAATTTCTCTTTGAGTCTGGTTTAACTCGATATGAGCTCACTTAACAAACTTGTGATATATGTATTAACACAAAAATTCCGTAGTATTAATTTCTCAATCAATTTTAATTCATTACTTTTCATAAAATGATGAATAACAAGCATAAAGTCAAAATATGTTCTGTTCATGTTCAATTCAAACAAACAAAATTTGCAAAAATTAAGAGAAAAAAGGTTAACCACTTACAGTTTCACTTTTATCGCTAAGGTTTTCGTAAAATCAGCTAAACTCAAGTAAAGTTTCTTTGAGAATCCAGAAAACGAAGAAGTCTTTTTAAAGCTGTCCTTTTGTTTGAATGTCCCTTGCGTTTCAGTAAATGCTTGTCCTCCCGTAAATAACCTCACTGTAGCGTAGGTTTTTGAGATAGCGTTCTACAAAAAATATAATTCCTCTGAAACACTTTGGTTGAAATTTAACACCATACATTTAATCATAGGTAAAGCACTCCTCTATGGTACTAGCTGTCTATTTTTGTCGGTTACTTGTTTTCCAGTTTTACGACGAACACAACAAATCCTGCGTCACTTCGCGTCTTGTATGAATGAGTTGAAGTTCATAAATGTACTTTCCTTTAGCTTGCGCAAATCCTTTGACAAATTCCTGAGTACACAAGACGAATTTTCCTCTTAACTGGCGTTTTACGGTGTTTTCTCATTCTTTTTGAGTCCATCTTGAGTATTTTTGTGTTGAAAGTTTTCTTTGATGAGCAAACTCAACTGAAGTGAAAAACAAACTACAAAATCAACAAACTGTCATTCAAAGTGGCGTGAGAGAAGGCTTGTGACGTGGCGACAGCTGATTGGTTATATAACTACCCACGTGGTAGAATTTTCCCGCCTTTCGTTTGGCAGCGTAGCAAGCGTTTCTTCAGACGAGACGAAGGTTTTTATACGCGTCCCCTCCCAACCCCCATTAAGGAAAAACTGATCTGTGAGAATTTTATCAGACCAAGAGTTAATAGAAGAAAGGGCTCCAAGGTTTCAATAATTCGCACATTTTTAGAGTATATTATTTGCTTTTGCTGTTTTGAAAGTCTTGCATGCAAATTTTAGGGATTGAAAAGTAGAATGTGGTCTGTAAGCTGCGAGCACCTTTAGAGGTGCGTCCAAGAAGTCAGATGTATTTTTGTTGGTTTTGTCGTTTTCCCCTCTTTTTCGTATTTTTAACTCCTTTTTTCAACAGAACTTTACTTCTTGAGGCCGTTGCTTTTTCTGTATGTAGGTAGTTTCTAATCACTATTAAACGGCACAAAAATTCGGAAATTTGGGGTTGACAAGGAAAAATCAGGAACTTGTCGCGCAGCAACCTAAAGGCTGGTTTACACTAGCGTCGGAGTTGGAGTCGTAAGATCGCTTATGACCTAGTGAAAATCAAAAATCGGAGTCCTAAGCGCAGTAACCTGAGATCGGGCTCTGTTTTCGTTTCGCTTTGAAAATTACATTCGCGCGGCAAGGCGATTTTTTTAGCGGTAGCCGTTAGAGAGAATGCATGAGAACCGCTAAAATGGGGCCTGATCTCAGGTTATAAGTGGCGTCATAAGCGCGCCGGCATCAGAGTCAGAAGAATTAGAGCGTTTCCATTTCTTCCGACTCCGCTTACGTTCCGCTTATGATCAAGTGAAAACCAGATTGTCAGAATCGGAAGCAGAAGCAGAAGGATAAACCAATCCCGATGCACGTTCTCACGCTTTGTGATTTGTTTGGTTCTTCCGCTTCTGCTTCCGACTCTGACAATCTGGTTTTCACTAGATCATAAGCGGAACTTAAGCGGAATCGAACGCTGTTTTCACTAGATTATAAGCTCTACGCTTTTGATTACGACTCCGACTCCGACTGCGACTCTGTCGCTAGTGAAAAGCAGCCTTAATTTTGAGACACTCACAAGAAAGTTTTTTAGCGCAGCGGTATTCGCAAGACCATTCAGGACAAAATTACTGTTTAGGGCATGCGGATTTTAAGACTTTGAACTAAATAAGGCCTCGGAACGGATTGTAAAATGAGTGAAATCTCTTATTTAGTCCTATTAAATATAACTAAATTAAAGAAGAAAAACGTCTTTGTCGCAAGCAGAAATTTCTATAGTACTACTTTTTTTACTCAGATTTGTCCTAAACTCCCAAGAGTGATCAACATCAATTTTACCAACATCAATTTTACCTACTTTTGGTTTTTACCAAAACATTATCAAACGAAAAGGTTAGGAGAAGTAATAAACTGATGAACAAAGGAGAAGTACTTTGATCTTTTATCAAGTTCTCTCAACTAATTCTACAAGGCAATGTATGGACACTAGTGTGAAGAATTTGTATTTTTATATTGAGGCTTAATGGGTTAATGGTAAAATTCTAGTTTTCTGATGAGCATTCACGTACCCATCACATAGCAGTTAACCCCTGGTGTTATTGTTACCCTTTCATTGCTTATCACTTAAAGAAAGGTTTTAAAATCTAGACTACACTTTCGATAATTTAAACGTTGCTTTAAAAGTTGAATGGTGCTAGTGTTATTTTGTGATTTGTTGCACTATATTAATTCCCCCCTGCCTGAACATAAATGCCCATCAGAAGACTTTTGGAAAAAGAAGTACCCGAGTCTCTTTCCTCGCTCTTCAAATGAATCACAGCGGCAAATGCAACAGGTTTGTCATCAACTTTGACAAAAGAAAATCGAGTATAATATTTCTTAAGTTCTGTTATTTCTTGGAAAAAAAAAAAACTGAAAAAAAAAATTCCGTTTAAAAACGAGGGCCTCCCAGGGGGGGGTACATGTTCCCTTGTTCCCTAGAAAAAATTGGAGTTTTTCCCTTCTTTCCCAAAAATAAATTAAGATGTTCCCTGAAATTCACTTTCATCAAGTTCCCCTGTTCCCAGAAATTCTGTTGCATGTTCCCTTGATCCCCAGAAACACTCCCAGAAACACTCCCCAGACACTCACAAGAAAGTTTTTTAGGGCAGCGGTATTCGCAAGACCATTCAGGACAAAATTACTGTTTAGGGCATGCGGATTTTAAGACTTTGAACTAAATAAGGCCTCGGAACGGATTGCAAAATGAGCGAAATCTCTTATTTAGTCCTAAATATAACTAAATTAAAGAAGAAAAACGTCTTTGTCGCAAGCAGAAATTTCTGTAGTACTTTTTTGACTATGTGCTGTAGAAATGACCTCTCTTCGGGGTGGAATCATCTTGAGCTTTACTCAGGTTGGTCTTTAAGTCCCAAGAGTGATCAACATGAATTTTCTCTTAACAATATCAAAACATTATCAAAAGAAAATGTTAGGAGAAGTAGTAAATTGATGAACAAAGGAGAAGTACTTTGATATTTTATCAAGTTCTCTCAACTAATTCTATAAGGCAATGTATGGACACTAGTGTGGAGAATTTGTATTTTTATATTGGGGCTTAAAGGGTTAATGGTAAATTTCTAGTTGTCCGATGAGCATTCACGTCCCCATCACATAGTAAATGTAAATGTAAATGTCGCGATTGAGAGGACAAACATACATGTCCTCTTTACATAGCTTTTTGCAGTAGTTAACCCCTGGGGTTATTTTTACCCTTTAATTGCTTATCACTTAAAGAAAGGTTTTAAAATCTAGACTGCACTTTCGATCTTTTAAACGTTGCTTTAAAAGTTGAATGGTGCTAGTGTTATTTTGTGATTTGTTGTAGGATCATAAAGGAAACCCCAAGACTGAACATGAAAGGCCATCAGAAAACGTTTCGAAAAGGCTGTTCCCCAGTCTCTTTTCTCACTCATCAAATGAATCACAGCCGCAAAGGCAACAGGTTGGTCATCAACTTTGGAAAAAGAAAATCGAGTATACTATTTCCTGAGTTTGGTTATTTCTTGAAAAAAAAAAACTGAAAAAAACACCATTCCGTTTAAAAAAGTATCGTTTTTCTTCAGCTTTTCAGGAGTTCACTCCGACTCCGACTCCGACTCTGTCGCTAGTGTCAGGAAGCCATAATTTTGAGACACTCACTAGAACGTTTTTTAGCGCAGCACTACGCTTAAGACCATTCAGGACGAAATTACTGTTTAGGACATGTGGATTTTAAGACTTTGAACTAAATAAGGCTTCGGAACAGATTGCGAAATGAGGAAAATCTCTTGTTTAGTCCTAAATATAACTAAATTAAAGAAGAAAAACGTCTTTCTCGCAAGCAGAAATTTCTGTAGTACTTCTTTGACTATGTGTTGTAGAAATGACCTCTCTTCGGGGTGGAATCATCTTGAGCTTTACTCAGGTTGGTCTTTAAGTCCCAAGAGTGATCAACATGAATTTTCTCCTAACAATATCAAAACATTATCAAAAGAAAATGTTAGGAGAAGTAGTAAATTGATGAACAAAGGAGAAATACTTTGATCTTTTATCAAGTTCTCTCAACTAATTCTATAAGGCAATGTATGAACTCTAGTGTGGAGAATTTGTATTTTTATATTGGGGCTTAAAGGGTTAATGGTAAATTTCTAGTTGTCCGATGAGCATTCACGTCCCCATCACATAGTAAATGTAAATGTAAATGTCGCGATTGAGAGGACAAACATGCATGTCCTCTTTACATAGCTTTTTGCAGTAGTTAACCCCTGGGGTTATTTTTACCCTTTAATTGCTTATCACTTAAAGAAAGGTTTTAAAATCTAGACTACACTTTCGATCTTTTAAACGTTGCTTTAAAAGTTGAATGGTGCTAGTGTTATTTTGTGATTTGTTGTAGGATCATAAAGGAAACCCCAAGCCTGAACATGAATGGCCATCAGAAATCGTTTGGAAAGGGCTGTTCCCCTGTCTCTTTTCTCACTCATCAAATGAATCACAGCCGCAAAGGCAACAGGTTGGTCATCAACTTTGGAAAAAGAAAATCGAGTATACTATTTCCTGAGTTTGGTTATTTCTTGAAAAAAAAAAACTGAAAAAAACACCATTCCGTTTAAAAAAGTATGGTGTTTCTTCAGCTTTTCAGCAGTTCACTTATTATAAACTGAAACTAAGGGAACATGAAATGTGTTTTGAATCAGTAGTTTGAGGCTGTTTTTTTTTCTAGTCGCGATTTCATAAAAACTGAGTCAAATCAAAACAGTGCAGTTGAATATAAGTCTTACTAACAGTAACAAGTTATTTCTGTGGTCTTAGACTCTTATCTCACTTCTTTTAAGAAGTGAACTAAGTCATACCGAAACCGACGGTTCTCTTACAACGATGGCTTTTAATTGTGGAAGTTACTGTCCGAACAATATTGCAACGGACTGCAATCCGTTTTGGAAATACCTCTGGTTTTGGAAACAACCTGAAGTTTTCTTCATACGTTTTTTACCGTTCGGGAAGTCGATTTAATCGTGCACTTTGAAAAAACTTGCTGATTTTCGTACGTGAAGTTTATACAAGCCGGGAGAAAATGTGGATCTTTGAGATGTTTATTGACTTGCAAATTTCACCGCTATCGCTGTAGTAGAGCATTTTTACGCATTTTAAGCGAACATGGAGCTTGAGGCTTGGAACAAAACAGTCAACAGTAGACTGAGGTTCTGTCTTTGTATAGTCTTGTTTTCATTACTAACAGAAGAGCTTCTTTTTGCTCAACCATCTTATTGGCTCATCAACTCTTAGCCTGTTTGAGGGGTTCAGATAGTGGAAAGTGCCACTCTCCACTATCTGAAAGCCTGGAACAGGCTCTGATCAACTCTTGTTTTCTTTTACCACTCGCACAGATTCCTGCAGAGACTCCCCTCAGTATTCACGACTCACCATTCGCCGCTGACGATCAAGACACCGTGGGAAGAACATTTTCAGCGCTTCCTGATCCCGCCGGTAAGGTTTCTTGTCCCCAGCCCCCGCGGCGCCGAGTTCCCTACCTTCCCAATCACAGATGTAACAAAACCTATTGGCGATTAACACCCTGAGCACTAATAAGAAGTTGTACATAAGTTCGTTGCGCTCAAAAGTCAGTTTTGGTTTGTGATATTGCCTTCTTCTTAATAATTGCGGTGTAGACCTGCGACAAGTTGCTGTTGTCACATTCTGTCCGTAATTTTGATGAAAGAAATCGGACGTCAAGGACTATGTTTATTCATTAGTTTGTTTATAGACCAAAAAGGTTCTCTACGCAGTACTACCCGGCATAAACAATTAACGCGCCTGGCCTTGCTGCCATATACAGAAACGAAAAGTATGTTAGAACAGTCATTGAGGAAGTTTAAAAGGAAAAGATCCTGTTCCGATGTACACATTTTCCGGTGTTACCTAAAGTGATCGATGTTTGCACTAATGATGATTTAAACTTACGTAGTAAAACGAGGGGGCATAACATTAAGAAAGGATAAATGTTCTAGAAGTCTATTAGTCTGAAATCGATGGTTTCCTTTATACATTATGGGACGTGGTATCCTTATTTCTTCTTTAAGCTGATCCAATGTTAGCAGGGCCATCCATTCCTACTCGTGGGATGCTAATTTCTACCTTTCTTTCCTTAACAGCTGATCCAATGTTAGCAGAAGCGACTATTCCTACAGCGCATGGATCCAGCCACGGTCTGGTACCTCAAGTTCAGTATTCAGAGCATTTTTCCTCACCAGATATCCACACCTATCATCACAGTGCCCCATCCACCATCTTTACACCTGGAGAATCCTTGTCTACCGATCCGCATCTCATCAGTGGTCCTGGCCCTTCTACAGTCACACAGGACGAGCCCATTGATGAGGTAATGATGCCGGACAAGAGCGATGGGCCCGATTCATTTAAGAGAAAAAAGGTTAACCACATACAGTTTCACTTTTATCGCTAAGGTTTTCGTAAAATCAGCTAAACTCAAGTAAAGTTTCTTTGAGAATCCAGAAAACAAAGAAGTCTTTTTAAAGCTGTCCTTTTGTTTGAATGTCCCTTGCGTTTCAGTAAATGCTTGTCCTCCCGTAAATAACCTCACTGTAGCGTAGGTTTTTGAGATAGCGTTCTACAAAAAATATAATTCCTCTGAAACACTTTGGTTGAAATTTAACACCATACATTTAATCATAGGTAAAGCACTCCTCTATGGTACTAGCTGTCTATTTTTGTCGGTTACTTGTTTTCCAGTTTTACGACGAACACAACAAATCCTGCGTCACTTCGCGTCTTGTATGAATGAGTTGAAGTTCATAAATGTACTTTCCTTTAGCTTGCGCAAATCCTTTGACAAATTCCTGAGTACACAAGACGAATTTTCCTCTTAACTGGCGTTTTACGGTGTTTTCTCATTCTTTTTGAGTCCATCTTGAGTATTTTTGTGTTGAAAGTTTTCTTTGATGAGCAAACTCAACTGAAGTGAAAAACAAACTACAAAATCAACAAACTGTCATTCAAAGTGGCGTGAGAGAAGGCTTGTGACGTGGCGACAGCTGATTGGTTATATAACTACCCACGTGGTAGAATTTTCCCGCCTTTCGTTTGGCAGCGTAGCAAGCGTTTCTTCAGACGAGACGAAGGTTTTTATACGCGTCCCCTCCCAACCCCCATTAAGGGAAAACTGATCTGTGAGAATTTTATCAGACCAAGAGTTAATAGAAGAAAGGGCTCCAAGGTTTCAATAATTCGCACATTTTTAGAGTATATTATTTGCTTTTGCTGTTTTGAAAGTCTTGCATGCAAATTTTAGGGATTGAAAAGTAGAATGTGGTCTGTAAGCTGCGAGCACCTTTAGAGGTGCGTCCAAGAAGTCAGATGTATTTTTGTTGGTTTTGTCGTTTTCCCCTCTTTTTCGTATTTTTAACTCCTTTTTTCAACAGAACTTTACTTCTTGAGGCCGTTGCTTTTTCTGTATGTAGGTAGTTTCTAATCACTATTAAACGGCACAAAAATTCGGAAATTTGGGGTTGACAAGGAAAAATCAGGAACTTGTCGCGCAGCAACCTAAAGGCTGGTTTACACTAGCGTCGGAGTTGGAGTCGTAAGATCGCTTATGACCTAGTGAAAATCAAAAATCGGAGACCTAAGCGCAGTAACCTGAGATCGGGCTCTGTTTTCGTTTCGCTTTGAAAATTACATTCGCGCGGCAAGGCGATTTTTTTAGCGGTAGCCGTTAGAGAGAATGCATGAGAACCGCTAAAATGGGGCCTGATCTCAGGTTATAAGTGGCGTCATAAGCGCGCCGGCATCGGAGTCAGAAGAATTAGAGCGTTTCCATTTCTTCCGACTCCGCTTACGTTCCGCTTATGATCAAGTGAAAACCAGATTGTCAGAATCGGAAGCAGAAGCAGAAGGATAAACCAATCCCGATGCACGTTCTCACGCTTTGTGATTTGTTTGGTTCTTCCGCTTCTGCTTCCGACTCTGACAATCTGGTTTTCACTAGATCATAAGCGGAACTTAAGCGGAATCGAACGCTGTTTTCACTAGATTATAAGCTCTACGCTTTTGATTACGACTCCGACTCCGACTGCGACTCTGTCGCTAGTGAAAAGCAGCCTTAATTTTGAGACACTCACAAGAAAGTTTTTTAGCGCAGCGGTATTCGCAAGACCATTCAGGACAAAATTACTGTTTAGGGGCATGCGGATTTTAAGACTTTGAACTAAATAAGGCCTCGGAACGGATTGTAAAATGAGTGAAATCTCTTATTTAGTCCTATTAAATATAACTAAATTAAAGAAGAAAAACGTCTTTGTCGCAAGCAGAAATTTCTATAGTACTACTTTTTTTACTCAGATTTGTCCTAAACTCCCAAGAGTGATCAACATCAATTTTACCAACATCAATTTTACCTACTTTTGGTTTTTATCAAAACATTATCAAAAGAAAAGGTTAGGAGAAGTAATAAACTGATGAACAAAGGAGAAGTACTTTGATCTTTTATCAAGTTCTCTCAACTAATTCTACAAGGCAATGTATGGACACTAGTGTGAAGAATTTGTATTTTTATATTGGGGCTTAATGGGTTAATGGTAAAATTCTAGTTGTCTGATGAGCATTCACGTACCCATCACATAGCAGTTAACCCCTGGTGTTATTGTTACCCTTTCATTGCTTATCACTTAAAGAAAGGTTTTAAAATCTAGACTACACTTTCGATAATTTAAACGTTGCTTTAAAAGTTGAATGGTGCTAGTGTTATTTTGTGATTTGTTGCACTATATTAATTCCCCCCTGCCTGAACATAAATGCCCATCAGAAGACTTTTGGAAAAAGAAGTACCCGAGTCTCTTTCCTCACTCATCAAATGAATCACAGCGGCAAATGCAACAGGTTTGTCATCAACTTTGACAAAAGAAAATCGAGTATAATATTTCTTAAGTTCTGTTATTTCTTGGAAAAAAAAAAACTGAAAAAAAAAATTCCGTTTAAAAACGAGGGCCTCCCAGGGGGGGTACATGTTCCCTTGTTCCCTAGAAAAAATTGGAGTTTTTCCCTTCTTTCCCAAAAATAAATTAAGATGTTCCCTGAAATTCACTTTCATCAAGTTCCCCTGTTCCCAGAAATTCTGTTGCATGTTCCCTTGATCCCCAGAAACACTCCCAGAAACACTCCCCAGACACTCACAAGAAAGTTTTTTAGCGCAGCGGTATTCGCAAGACCATTCAGGACAAAATTACTGTTTAGGGCATGCGGATTTTAAGACTTTGAACTAAATAAGGCCTCGGAACGGATTGCAAAATGAGCGAAATCTCTTATTTAGTCCTAAATATAACTAAATTAAAGAAGAAAAACGTCTTTGTCGCAAGCAGAAATTTCTGTAGTACTTTTTTGACTATGTGCTGTAGAAATGACCTCTCTTCGGGGTGGAATCATCTTGAGCTTTACTCAGGTTGGTCTTTAAGTCCCAAGAGTGATCAACATGAATTTTCTCTTAACAATATCAAAACATTATCAAAAGAAAATGTTAGGAGAAGTAGTAAATTGATGAACAAAGGAGAAGTACTTTGATATTTTATCAAGTTCTCTCAACTAATTCTATAAGGCAATGTATGGACACTAGTGTGGAGAATTTGTATTTTTATATTGGGGCTTAAAGGGTTAATGGTAAATTTCTAGTTGTCCGATGAGCATTCACGTCCCCATCACATAGTAAATGTAAATGTAAATGTCGCGATTGAGAGGACAAACATACATGTCCTCTTTACATAGCTTTTTGCAGTAGTTAACCCCTGGGGTTATTTTTACCCTTTAATTGCTTATCACTTAAAGAAAGGTTTTAAAATCTAGACTGCACTTTCGATCTTTTAAACGTTGCTTTAAAAGTTGAATGGTGCTAGTGTTATTTTGTGATTTGTTGTAGGATCCTAAAGGAAACCCCAAGACTGAACATGAAAGGCCATCAGAAAACGTTTCGAAAAGGCTGTTCCCCAGTCTCTTTTCTCACTCATCAAATGAATCACAGCCGCAAAGGCAACAGGTTGGTCATCAACTTTGGAAAAAGAAAATCGAGTATACTATTTCCTGAGTTTGGTTATTTCTTGAAAAAAAAAAAACTGAAAAAAACACCATTCCGTTTAAAAAAGTATCGTTTTTCTTCAGCTTTTCAGGAGTTCACTCCGACTCCGACTCCGACTCTGTCGCTAGTGTCAGGAAGCCATAATTTTGAGACACTCACTAGAACGTTTTTTAGCGCAGCAGTACGCTTAAGACCATTCAGGACGAAATTACTGTTTAGGACATGTGGATTTTAAGACTTTGAACTAAATAAGGCTTCGGAACAGATTGCGAAATGAGCAAAATCTCTTGTTTAGTCCTAAATATAACTAAATTAAAGAAGAAAAACGTCTTTCTCGCAAGCAGAAATTTCTGTAGTACTTCTTTGACTATGTGTTGTAGAAATGACCTCTCTTCGGGGTGGAATCATCTTGAGCTTTACTCAGGTTGGTCTTTAAGTCCCAAAAGTGATCAACATGAATTTTCTCCTAACAACATCAAAACATCAAAAGAAAATGTTAGGAGAAGTAGTAAATTGATGAACAAAGGAGAAATACTTTGATCTTTTATCAAGTTCTCTCAACTAATTCTATAAGGCAATGTATGAACACTAGTGTGAAGAATTTGTATTTTTATATTGGGGCTTAAAGGGTTAATGGTAAATTTCTAGTTGTCCGATGAGCATTCACGTCCCCATCACATAGTAAATGTAAATGTAAATGTCGCGATTGAGAGGACAAACATACATGTCCTCTTTACATAGCTTTTTGCAGTAGTTAACCCCTGGGGTTATTTTTACCCTTTAATTGCTTATCACTTAAAGAAAGGTTTTAAAATCTAGACTACACTTTCGATCTTTTAAACGTTGCTTTAAAAGTTGAATGGTGCTAGTGTTATTTTGTGATTTGTTGTAGGATCATAAAGGAAACCCCAAGCCTGAACATGAATGGCCATCAGAAATCGTTTGGAAAGGGCTGTTCCCCTGTCTCTTTTCTCACTCATCAAATGAATCACAGCCGCAAAGGCAACAGGTTGGTCATCAACTTTGGAAAAAGAAAATCGAGTTTACTATTTCCTGAGTTTGGTTATTTCTTGAAAAAAAAAAAAAAACTGAAAAAAACACCATTCCGTTTAAAAAAGTATGGTGTTTCTTCAGCTTTTCAGCAGTTCACTTATTATAAACTGAAACTAAGGGAACATGAAATGTGTTTTGAATCAGTAGTTTCAGGCTGTTTTTTTTTTCTAGTCGCGATTTCATAAAAACTGAGTCAAATCAAAACAGTGCAGTTGAATATAAGTCTTACTAACAGTAACAAGTTATTTCTGTGGTCTTAGACTCTTATCTCACTTCTTTTAAGAAGTGAACTAAGTCATACCGAAACCGACGGTTCTCTTACAACGATGGCTTTTAATTGTGGAAGTTACTGTCCGAACAATATTGCAACGGACTGCAATCCGTTTTGGAAATACCTCTGGTTTTGGAAACAACCTGAAGTTTTCTTCATACGTTTTTTACCGTTCGGGAAGTCGATTTAATCGTGCACTTTGAAAAAACTTGCTGATTTTCGTACGTGAAGTTTATACAAGCCGGGAGAAAATGTGGATCTTTGAGATGTTTATTGACTTGCAAATTTCACCGCTATCGCTGTAGTAGAGCATTTTTACGCATTTTAAGCAAACATGGAGCTTGAGGCTTGGAACAAAACAGTCAACAGTAGACTGAGGTTCTGTCTTTGTATAGTCTTGTTTTCATTACTAACAGAAGAGCTTCTTTTTGCTCAACCATCTTATTGGCTCATCAACTCTTAGCCTGTTTGAGGGGTTCAGATAGTGGAAAGTGCCACTCTCCACTATCTGAAAGCCTGGAACAGGCTCTGATCAACTCTTGTTTTCTTTTACCACTCGCACAGATTCCTGCAGAGACTCCCCTCAGTATTCACGACTCACCATTCGCCGCTGACGATCAAGACACCGTGGGAAGAACATTTTCAGCGCTTCCTGATCCCGCCGGTAAGGTTTTTCCAAATACAGAGAAGTTCTCGTAAAATATTCACTGCTCATTACCCATGCAGAAATGCCGCTTTGAATTTGACACCAGTTACGGGAACGACGAACGGATTCATTTTTCGAATAATCAATTCATTAATAGAATCTTGGGGGGTACGCTTGACTTGGTTTGACTGTAACGCGCCTGGCCTTGCTGCCATATACAGAAACGAAAAGTATGTTAGAACAGTCATTGAGGAAGTTTAAAAGGAAAAGATCTTGTTCCGATGTACACATTTTCCGGTGTTACCTAAAGTGATCGATGTTTGCACTAATGATGATTTAAACTTACGTAGTAAAACGAGGGGGCATAACATTAAGAAAGGATAAATGTTCTAGAAGTCTATTAGTCTGAAATCGATGGTTTCCTTTATACATTATGGGACGTGGTATCCTTATTTCTTCTTTAAGCTGATCCAATGTTAGCAGGGCCATCCATTCCTACTCGTGGGATGCTAATTTCTACCTTTCTTTCCTTAACAGCTGATCCAATGTTAGCAGAAGCGACTATTCCTACAGCGCATGGATCCAGCCACGGTCTGGTACCTCAAGTTCAGTATTCAGAGCATTTTTCCTCACCAGATATCCACACCTATCATCACAGTGCCCCATCCACCATCTTTACACCTGGAGAATCCTTGTCTACCGATCCGCATCTCATCAGTGGTCCTGGCCCTTCTACAGTCACACAGGACGAGCCCATTGATGAGGTAATGATGCCGGACAAGAGCGATGGGCCCGATTCATATTGCTGTTCTTGTATATTAATTAGTTTGAAACAGTGTTAAGGGTTATTGAAAACGACTTGGCCCTTCTACAGTCACACAGGACAAACCCGTGGATGAGATAATGAGGCCAAACAAGAGCGATGGGCCGGATTCACATTGCTGTTTTTGTTTGTTAGTTTGAAACAGTGACAAGTTATTGAGAACGACTTTATGGATCAGTCGTTTACTCAATAACAAAGTTGTTGATAGGAATGTTGTTGAGCATTGCTAGCCCTAAGTGTCAGAGCTCAAGTTCGTACCTTTACTTTCGTGGTCTTTGTTTAGTATTCATCTTCACTGGGATGCCTGTGTGGATCAGACGCCTAAAACCTAATGATAGGAGCGTCATTCATCATAGCTGGGCTCTGAGGTGTAAGACAATAACACCCGTAATGAAGGTTTAAAAAACATAATCGCCATTGATTATTTGGAAACAAGTCAATAAACAAAGATTTAAAGATGAAACGGGATCTGGTAGGACTGGTATGTTTCAATTTAGCTTCTCAATGCGATAAGCGAAAAGGATGTTTTTAAAATATATGAATTAACAAACCATCAGCGGTTTCTTTCCCTATTTAATGGGCACAGGAGGTATACCTATTTGATATTAAAAGATGGAATTTTGCTTTATATATTAAGTAGGATATGAAAGCTTTGAAGTGAAGTTTCGGTTAGGAACCTCATGTTTTCCTTTGTTTACTTCACAGGGGGTGTGCTCACAGAGTGAGATTCAAGAGTTGCTTAAGTTGGAACACTTGTCCCTTGATGAGGGTTGGTTGTAAACATTTAGATACTTCAAAAATAACTAAATACGATCTTATAATATAACCAGGTTTTACCACGTTTCGGTACTTCTTTTCCGGAGACCCAGACAGTAAGTATGATTTGTCATGTCTGTCGAGTGTCCTTATTAACCGAGCTCCACTGTATATGTCTGTTTCTCAGCAAATTTTCAGAGACTTAGTTATATAAAACAGGTTTTACTGTCTTAGAAGAATCTTAAAGAAAATATATCAGGTAGGAGGAAAAAAGCGGAAAGTACAGGCGTTAACTGATTTAAATCCATACTTTATAACAAAATGGAAGGACCCTATTTGGTTCTTAATAGTCTACTATTTGTGACTCCCCTTGACTACGGACACTACCACTCATTTCGTCTTCCTTACTTGTTCATGTGAGGTTTAAATTACAGTAAAATAAACATGAAAGATTGTGGTTATTGCAATCAAATAAAACGGCCATAGCTAAAAGGTCATAAGGAGGCAAACTGACTCCAACGGGCATACCAACCTGCAAACTGGAAGCCTGTGCCTTCATACAAGCAATTAAACGGGTTTTAAAGAGTTATGAACCTAGAGATAAATCTGTCGTTGTCAGTTTTGATGCCGCAGACCTCATTTAAATCAATTTATTACAAAAGAAAGTAAGCTGATTTCGTTCAATGAGCTTTGTTTAAAATCTCCAATTAATTCTAGTCTTCTGTATAATTTGAAATCTGTTAAACTTGGTTTGATTGCGATGATGTGTTTGTGCGTACATTTTAACCTTTGACCGCTGCAGTTTTTTCGCAGAAGTGGTTTGGTTGCACAGTGAAATTTTGTGGCGTTATAGCAACTCTTTTTAAGCAGGTCTTAAATGGTGACGAAATGTATCGTTTAATTGAATCTTTCCTTGCTTTATTTTTTAAATCTAGGTGACGAAGGTCCTCCGCGAAAGAAAATCAAAAGGGAATAGTATAAAGCATTACCGGTGACTGAAGGTACGCTGAATGGTTGAATGTCATAATGTTTGCTAAATTTCATTCGTTTTAACAGTACGTAGCATTACAGTTGTATTTTGCTCTATGTGGTCCGGTGGATTAAAACAAATTTGTTACGGATCCTTGAGAGAAGTGCGACTGGAGCACAAGCGTATAATTTTTCTTTTGAATGGAATTCTCTGCCTTAATGGTAGCCATTTATCCAACAATTCCTATGAACTAAAAAACATTTCCAGTATCATAGTTAATGTAACATACCTTCCGATAGATCATTATGAATCATTAAATAACCAGGGGTCAATTTAATAAAACTTTTACAAGTGTAATTTACAAGTGTAGCCATTGTTTTAGAGTCCGTAAACAATGGCTACACTTATGAATTACACTCTTTATAACGACATGCACTCACTTCAGTTTTTTTTCTGCTTCTGTCACAACTATAAGAAATTTATGTAGTTAATTTGGCGATTAACGCCCTGGGCCCAGTTGCTCGAAGCATGGTTAGCGTTAATCAGCGTTTAATACCTTGACAACGTATTGGTTTTGATACTGCTTAACCAATGGTTAAAGCTAACCATGCTTTGAGCAAGGGCTGAGTTGCTCAAAGCATGGTTAGCTTTAACCATTGAATTGGTTAAGCAGTATCAAAACCAATACGTTGTCAAGGTATTAAACGCTGATTAACGCTAACCATGCTTCGAGCAACTGGGCCCTGGTTGATTGAATACCAATGAGAAACAAGCGACCCCTAGCTTACAGAACTCGCGCATTACAACCATTTCCATTTTATGAAGTAAACCTAACCGACCGTTTTAAATGAACAAACAAAAAACCGTAGATTATTAAAAGAAAAGTCAGGATCGAGGTTCTTAGATGAAAGCTTCCTTGCAATGCACCTTGGTATGTTGTAGAAGATTTTCCAAGGAGACATTTTCCCGTGTTAACTTCAGCGGTCAATGAGTGGACTTTTCATGACATATTGCATGAGTACTTCAAATAATTGCAAAACTAAACCGCATCGTATTGAGGGAGCAGTATACTTAAAGGCCATGAGTATGTAATTAGTGTTTCGCGCTGCACTATAATGTCACTTGGGGTGATCCTAATTTGTAGCTTTATTTCTCTGCAGATGGTCCGGTTTTAGCGGGAGCTTCTATAATTCCTATAGAGTGCATTGATCCAGCAACGGTCTGGCACCCTTCGATGAAAACCTCCCTCTCAATTCATGGTTTGCGGGGATCGCCACTGCTTGGCCGGGGAATTGTAACAGTGGTTCTGTTACGTTCTTAGTCTGACCACACCCTCCAGTTATCCCAGGGGTATTTTTTCCTGTATGGAGTACTGGGCCGGAACTGCCACTACGTAGATTGCAATCGGAAAGTACAATTCCTAGCGGGAGGCATCTCTCTCTGGAATCGCCATTGCCTGGGGTGAAGAATAGAAGTCCAGTTGTCTTAAAACGCGTACAAAATGCCAACAATCCCTTCGTTGCATGAGCTTTGAATCTGACGCAAGTCCATAAGCGACTAAACTACGGCGCACGTAAAAGTTTTAATAATTTCAAATTTTTGTTAACAAGTTATTTGAATAGTGCAATCTGGTCACTACTGCAAATAATATTTCATTATTTTTGACAAGAAAAAGTTTAAGTAATTAGCATCGAACACGTACTATATGTAGACAGTCCTTCGAATCAATCTGAAATAAGTCCGTGGACGACAATATCACTCGGCACATACTTGTTACGGTGTAAGATATGTACAAATTCTAATCTTTGTGAAGTGCAATCGATTTTTGGTATATTTATTACTGTAAATAATATTTAATTAAACTTATTGACAAAAGCAAAACTGTAATTCTGCTGTGTGATCTGTACTCTTATCCTCTTATTTTTTCCGCTTGTATAAAAACAGCATTATCGTATTTGCTGCTTATTGCAGAGCAAGTTATATCAATGTAGGGTCATATATGTTTATCACGCGCCTCCCCGCTAAACAGGGTCAATAGTAGTAAAATAAGCTACAAGTAGAAACTGCAATCCCACGCCTGAGGAAATTTTAATATACCAAGCGACCTCCGGCAAAGTTTCGTTAACTTGTTCGGTACGTTGCTAACTCAGATGGTAAAGCATTGGTTACCCGAAGGGTACGAGTTTTTATCCAACCTCATCCTTCCCTTTGTAGTAGGTGCATAAGAATTATGGCGCGCACATAAGAATGCACGTGGCGCCCGCGAGGAAGGAGAAAACGCGCTTGTATTTCCTCCCTCACACGCGTGGGGCGGGATATTTAAACGGCGAATGGAAAATGTGTGGCAATCGGGGTACTCCTGTACTCGGAATGTTTTTTTTAAATGAAGTGGAATTTTCAGAGGCTCATTATTTATTAGGCGTCTTAGGCGCACCTTTTATCGTCTTGCAAGTGTGTTTACAAATAAAACAAAGTAACAAGTAAACGTGTAATTGAGCGCGATGCAGGCCGAAACAAGCCTGTAGCCGCAAAACGACTCTCTCCTCATTTTCATTGCATTCCAGCTGACTGAAAATAATGTGGTTCAGTCCTCTCACTGACTAGAAACACAAACAATGTAAAATGGCGGGCAGAGGCGGAATTAGACAGCAAATCAAAATACTATAGTGTACTTTTACAATTATCCCTCATGCACTCCGATGAACAAGTGTTGAAGAATCGAGGGATAAATAATTGAAGATCACGACGCTGACAGTTTTTTTCGCGTGTACGGTAAAACCCGACAACTGACTAAAAATTTACAGTAAAGAGAATCAAAATACCTGAAAATGACTGTCGTTCTTGCTCCAACTCTTCTACTGGTAAAGGAAAAACTTGCAAAATTCTTGCCCTACAGCCGCCATTTTGTGTACTCTTGAACTCGAGGTCATCGTGTGGAACTCCGGGTATGTCACAACTACAAACAAAAAGAATACACCATGTTGTAAAGTCATTAGTTTATAACTGTGCCAAACTGACAAGGGCAATAGTCAGTATGACCTAACGGATGCAAAGAGGAAATTAAACTTGCCTGTTGCGCGTCTTAATAGCTATGAAAATAAGGTTCTGAGCACAAACAACATTTCATCCATAAAACGTGTATTAATTAGGACGTTTGTCAAGTTTCACATTGTAGTCGTGCAACAACAACGACCAAGAAATAAACAAAAAAACGTGATGCACGTGCAAAGTTTTTTTTTGCTAATGACGCCTTTTGATTTTTGATAAATACAGTTCTACGTGCAGTTTGCTTTTTTTTGTTTCTAAACGCGATAACATTTTATACGCTTGACGTTTTTATGCTAGAACGGCTCAGTTTCCTTGCATGTTTGTGATCGAACTAATATTAAGCACAGATTTAAAAGATTTCTTCGCAGTGGTTTCAAGTTTATTTTTTGTTTGAGTGTATAAACGAGAACTTCGCTGTTAGCCTTGGCTAAATCTACATATTGCTTTAGCTTGTCTTGGTTGAAACCACGTGACAAGGCGGCCATGTTGGACGACAATACAGTAGAATTTTTCGTTGAAGAATTCACATGAAAATAGAGTTAAGTTCCCAGAGGAAAGAAGTGCTTTTGTTCTTTTCATCCAACATGGCCGCCTTGACGTCACGTGCAAACCAGCAATAGTAGGGTGACTGTGAGGAGGCTGGTACAGACTTTCTTAGGTCCTTTTTCTGGGTAATAGGTCGGGAGGAAAAACTTCCCGCGACTTCCTCAATCGACAAAAAATGACGAAGTGTCCGCAAATTTTAGGCTAGCTCTGAAACTTACTTAAGTTTCAAGGTATAGCCTTTAAGCCTAATCAGGAGCCCGCAATACAGTCGAAACTCTCCTAATGCAGACTTTTCTACTACAGACATTTTTCTTGATTCCGAGGTTACAGAACTTCATACAGTCCGAACCTGTTAATTAAATGTATGGTGACATCTTTTTAATGCACGCGCGATAATGTGGACATTTGGCTTCGACCCCTTGGTGTCCGTAATACAGAGGTTTGATGATTGTACTCTGGCGTTTTTCAACTATTCCCATTCGGTTCGCTTTTAGATTTTTGCAATCATATTCCAAACTTTAAAAGCTAAGGTTTGTATTCAAAAGAATTTTCTCAAGACAGCTCATGCTCAGCAAGTATATATGACCTCACCCTTTTTAAAGTGGACTTAAGATAAACCTCTGGGAAAAGTAAATAACCATTATTTTGCGTCACGGTACAATGAACAATTTCCGAGAAACTAGCCTCTGTTCAAAGAATACCTCAAAACTGGTCAAGCAGGAAATATTCTAAGTCCCCCTGCCAATGAACTTGAAGGCAAGACGGGTCGAGGAACGGTGGAACTTTCGTGTTCAGTCTTATTCGTGATTACTTTGGGAGCCTGATTTTTTAAGTTTTCTTTCTTATGAGAGCTCTGAAGACAGAGTAATTTGTGATAATGGCTTCGGGAGAAATACTACTTATTGGACTTTTTGTTATTGTTTTTACTCAAGAATTCTCTTCAACTGCAGGTCAGTAACATTATTCATGTGGTTTATAGATAAAATGAATCTGTCATAGCACTGTGGCGTACAAGGTTATAAGCGTTGCACAGATCGCCTCTCCTTTTTTTTGGCCACCAAAATTAGAGTGATCTATCTAGTGAAAAAACTTTGACTTTGCTTACTGACAGGAGCGTACCGTGCAGAAAATAATGCGGTTACATACTCATGTAAATGTGTTAAGAAATCATCCAATAAACTATTTTTCTTTATATGCTGAAAACCGGACTTCAGTATCTCACCCTGTCTAGCCACGAAATTACACTTGACTACGATGAGTTGTTATGAAATATAGACAAACTTTATTCTCGGCGTTTCTAGTCTCCCAGTGTTTGATCTAATGCTCAATCAGTGGCATCTTGAATCTTCGATCCCTTCTGATGCGATCATGTAGTGGAAATGCTCACTGCTTATTATTTTAGATTTTTCTGATACAGACTGGTAACGATATTTTAATATCTTACGGGTTTGAAGACGAGTTAAACACAGTTGTTACGTTCTTGTCGTGTTGGTTTACAAGACCTAAAAAAATTATTAATTCATGTTGAAAATACAAGGAAATTAAGTTTCTTAAACATATCGCCTGATTTTTTCTTTCATTTTTGAGCCTTCCAAAACATGCGAATTTTTGAGGAATTAACAGATCTGCAACATAGTTTGTTTTGTAGCCAGTTTCCGAAGCAACAAACTCGCAATTTGCGATTTTTTGAGACGCCTCGTGTTTGAAACTTCATTAGTTGTTTCTATTCTTTTATTATTCAGTTTTTGACACCATCATGCAATTTCTGATCTGATTAAGATAGGATCATAGTTTCCAATGTAATGTTGAGATTACGCCTGTATAACCAACGAAGTTCGGGCATTTCGTTCACGGTGTAAACAGTTAGATATTCGACTTGAATGGTCGAACACTGATCCGTGGCAATCATTTCAATCATTACTGACCTGGCTCCCTACTTTAAAATAGTAAATAAAGGCGCCGCTTGCTAGTCTAATAACAATGCCCTCTGATCAGTCTCTGTTAGCGGTCAGTTTTGCGTTCTCCTCTTCTTTGACAATCTTGTAAATGTACCTCACTGATCGGCAAGCCATATGACATATCGCTCGTAAATTCAAGACTATTCCCCTCGTCAGTATGAGGTGTATTTACAGATTATATGCCTACAGAAGCTTCCGTCTTTGTTTTGAAGCCTTTAGTTAGTAGATCGGTACATTCATTATCGGCAGGTGTTTTTTCCCCCGACTCCTCCTTAATCATTACTTAAGTATTTGTTACAGACTTGTACATTGTGGTTTTGGCTTTGAGCTGCATGTCTGATTAGATTTCTTCTCGGCTCATTTTTACCTTTTACCATGGGCATCTAACGCGAATCATTCCGCTGGAGGGATTGGAATATCTGTTCAAAAGAGCCTACTCGTTTCTCTGAACAGTTTTGACTTGAACTTTGGAAACTCAACGAAAATTCTTACCCGTACTTTACATCTTTTGTTTCCTGACAAATGAAATACGGTTTTGGAGAGTATTAAACGAGGTAACGTAACTTTGCGGTATATGATTTTTATCACCACTGAAATTATTCAGCTATATAATATTTTGTTATGTGTTCAAAGCCCTTAATGAATGATATGAAGCAAGATGCAAGCCTACATAATGCCGCTGTCAGTTAACAACGTCATTATGGCGAGGGTTGACTATCTGTACTTTGCAGGAGCTTCATGTTCCGGTATGTCCCAGACACTAGACGAAGGCTGCACGATCAGTGACGACTGCAGCACGATCACGTGCAAGATGAATTTTGTTGAGAAGCCAATCACATTCAAACTCAAGGTATCAGTTGTCATTTTCTATAAATATCCGTACAATATGCTGAAGGTTCGGAAAAACTGGCAACAAAAAACGTGCAACTTGTCTTGCAACATTGCTGCAAAACGAGTTGAATAGCGATGTTGCGCGTTTTACCACCCACATCAAACCTGTCTTGCAACAAACCAGGTTGTTAACAGGTTTGAACGTGTTTGGTAAAACGCGCAACATCGCTATTCAACTCCTTTTGCAGCAGTGTTGCAAAACAAGTTGCACGGTTTTTGTTGCCCGTTTTTCCGTTCCTTTAAGGATGTAACAGGTTTAAGCCTCATGTTTCAAGGGAGGTTTATGTCTTTTGTGCTGCTGATTAACACCAGCTGCAGTCGCTGAACATACTGTGCGTAGAAATAATCAGCGCCTCTGGAAACGAAGGCACCCCTACAAGTGGTTCAGTTCTTGTCTTCTTTGGGTTCAATGGCCTGCATTCCATCTGTTTTCAAATCAGAGTTACGATCGGGGGAAGACAAACCCTGCGCATTAAGGAGTATTATGGTGTTTCTCGGGATTCGTCATTATCGTGTTGTCCATAACTATTAAACTTTGTTTGCCTCCGCACCAAATTTTGCATAACTCAGTATTGTTTCCAATTTTTACTGGGTATAATTAATTACATTTGTCTCAAGAATGGTTCAAAACAATGCCTTTGCAAAATTCTAGGGGCCGCGGGCAAACAAAGTATAATACTGGCCGGGCAATTCGAAAATGGCGAATGACTTGAGTAAAGTCAAGTTAGTCAAGTTGAATGTCAATTGGATTCAACTCCGCAATGATAACCGACAAAACCCGGGGGTTATTACTAACATTGTAAGGCCCACGTCACATGGGAAATAGCCTAATGCTAATCATAAGCGAAAACAATAGATTTTGCTCATTAGCATTAGGTTCGAGTTTTTCTTGGGCCGAGTAAGAACATTAAGAAAGAACAGTTAAAAGAACTTAGTTTTATGAATGGTAAATGAATCATAATTGATGTCAAAGGTATATTTACTGTCTTTGTCACTTTTTAGGGTTAATAAGCTGCCATATAAAGGATAAAACTCATAATAATAATAAATAATAATAATAATAATCTTTATTGAGATGACTGTTTTATATAAAATATGGTTTTCAAAAAGGATCTCATAAAATTAAAAAAAAAATACAAAATACACACAATTCGCAAAGACATTAAAAATCTAAAATATGTAAAAACTATTAAAATGTGCAAGATATTAACTCAAATTCATTTAAATTACAAATCTAAAAAGATTACGTTTAAAAATATTCAGATTCACGGATTGTCTGATTACCCGGCTAAGGGAGTTAAAATCCTTAATGGCATGAAATGCAGTCCGTTGTTTGCCCCAATTCCTCTTGGCACTTGGAAGTCTGAGATTCAGCTTAGTTCTGGTATTATAATCATGTTGTTCTTGTTGTCTTATGAAGTTCATATCATGCTCAACAAGTCCATTTAAACACTTATACACATAAATACATCTTCTCTAAAAACGCCTTTTTTCTAATGGAACCCACTTAAGAATGGCAAGCGCATGCTTAGCAGATGAATAAAGACGTCTGTCTAAAATTATTTTCGCAGCCTTATTCTGCAAGACTTGCAAACTGGTCATTAAGATTACATTATGCTTGTCTCCCCAAACAAGGTCTGCATAATCAAATAAAGGCATGACAAGACTATTATAAAAAAGAAGGTGCGCACTGAAAGGTAATAAATGCTTAATGTGATTAAGGAGACCAAGCCTTTGATTAATTTTGCCAGCAATGTATTCAACATGATTTGTCCATGTAAAACCAGATGATATAAAAATTCCAAGGTATTTGAAGCGGTTGACATTATTTACATTATCCAATATAAACAAATGTACTATCATTCACTACTAAGAAAAATTGGCATTTAATCATTACCAACCAAATTAACAAATGTGATGAACCCGTCACTGTAACGGCCTCTATGAATGTCCCGGATTTGCGTGTCACGTGGTCTCACACCTACACCAGTGACGACATCATTGAAGTACCCAGATTTACTGTATCTTTGCCTTCTATTTTCTCCGCTGGAGTCTATGTTCAAGTTCAACTCAAAGACAACGGGGACAGACTGCATCTTAAGGCAAGTACTTTATGTAAAGCGACTTGTAAGGTAGTGTGACCTCAATTTTAAAAAGGACGTTATGTGACGTCAAACATTAAAGACCATTGTAATGGAAGTTAAAGTGCAGGACATACTTTAAAAGAGTGAATTCAGCTACTGTATACAATTAAAAGCTTTTAAAATTTTCATATTGTTGGTGCGGTGCTTATTTGGATGCCCCGCCCTTTCGAGATTCGAATATGGTCACGTGTTTCCATCTCACTTGGCCATGTATTTTCCATTAAATCAAAGACAAAGACAGTAGTTCACTGCCTCCAACACTTTGTCTATAAACAACTATTTTAACTACTATTTTAACAACTATCAAAAGCCTGAAAATTTTCTAGAACTCGACATTCACTGCTAATTCAAGTTCATCACCGAGTTTTTATTTCATGTACAACAGAATTTAAAACTAAAGTGAAAATTGGACGTTTTTGAGCGCTAACTGACATTTACACTAACCCATGCGGCACCCAACATAAATTGTTTAAACGAGTCAAATCCAGAGTTCTCTGGAGAGGGAGATTCTGCCAGCAGGAAAAATAAAATCAATAAGTTCGAAACAATTTGTTTTTTTTTATAGGTGAAGCTACTGGCCGGTGGAAAAGTGTTGGGCAAAGGTGTTTATCCTGTGAAAGTTACTGTGATGGAGGGAGACTTACCGATTTCGACTAACGATTGTGGTGGGTATACTGATCATGATTAAAACTAGAAATGTGTGTAACGCATTCTAGAACTCGCATTCGAAAGCAATAATTTTTACGCTAACAGACTGAACACAGTAATCTTGCATTAAAATTACCCTCAATCAGGAGTTCGAAAGGGAAAGAGGATTTTGGGCGCGTGAGAAGCACGAGAGGCGCGCGAGGAATACGGGAGGGGGACCTCGCTCCCAAATTCCCTTTCCCTTGCCTTTCGAACCCCACGCAGCCTATCAATTAACTTTCTTTTATGGCACATATATAATTATAACATAGCTAGAAAATTCGCCTAATCAAATTCAATAGCGCGAGCGTGCTTCATATTCCTATTGAGCACGCTGATGACGTCAATAAACTATTCGTAATTCCTCGAGTTGTTGGGAGCTTAGCAATCCTGAGTCTCCCGAGTGCATCCATAACTCAGCAATAGACAATGAAGCGTTTACCATGTGTTTTATAAGGAAATTTAAGAGGAAAGGTTTGAATTTGTTAACCGATAGTAAGGAAAAGAGGTGAGTGTTGTTGTTGTTGTTGTCATCTCGGCGAGCTGTGCGGGCTATGGCGTGAGATCATTCTTTGCAAAGTTGTTTTCTCTCAATAACAATTTTTCGGTAAATTAAAAGTTTTCCGGCACCTAAATATGGATTTTGCAATCATTTTAGAGTACACTTTCTCTCAGTTTCAGGATAAAAACATAAGATTAACTGTGAGGAAAAAAAATATAGTCACGTAATCATTAACGCGTACTGCTTAAAATTTTCAGTTAACTGCTGCATTGATCGCTTTGATAATGTTATAAAACAATTAGTTCATGCTGCAGCTGTGCGTATGTCGAGATATTGAGCACTTGGGAAGTTTGGAGAGCACTCAAAAGGCTAGAGTTGCACTCGGCTGCGCCTCGTGCAACTCTTACGCCTCTTTCGTGCTCTCCAAACTTCCCGCGTGCTCAATATCTCGACATACGCACGCTGCCGCATGAACTAATTGTTAATTGCTGTTCAGTTATCAGTTACCGATAGGCCTGGAAAAAGTGAAATATTAGAAAAATATTTTCAAGGCTGTTACCGACTCGGAAATGACCATATTACATTGAAACTGCTAACAGTTCTGGAGCAGTAACAGAAAAGGAACGATACCTATGAATTTTAGGGTTAAAAACACAATGTGATCTATTAGTGTCTGCAAGGAGAGAAGATTTTTACCAGGTCTGTAGCAGGACAATGGCTCATGTATCGACACGTAGATGTAAGAAGCCTAGCGATAAAAAATTTAAACGTATCAGAGTGCATCTTAAAATCAACACGCTGTCCTGCAGGCAGCCAGTACAGGCCCATTAAAACAGATCCTTTCCCTAAGCAGGGAACGGAGCTTAAAAAAAACCAGGCCTTTTCCCACGGTCGAACACTTTCGACAATGCCTCAACAAACATATGAATAGACAATCATGTTTCAATCTCGTCTGCAGGGGTCCCTTCGTGTCATGCGCAAATATCGGGACGTTCTTGGTGCTGACCAAACAGAAAGCGGGATGGGTACGAGAAATTGATCATATTCACTATCGCAAAAGAAAGTTAGTTACACTGCGCTTGCGTTGTGAGAGTGTGTCAAACAGCTTAAACATTTCGAGAACAAAAAAAAAATGTCGTGCCAACGTTGTGAGAACTTTGTGACAACCTTCGGATGTTCAAGTGGTGGTACGACCTGTCCGAAGCTGCCAAGGCAGCATTGATTGGTGGACCTTTTTGACGATGACCATTACCATAATATGTTGTGACAAAGTTTAAACAGTTCAACCTCTTCTCAATAAGTCGTTACAACGTCTCACAACACTGTTGAGAGGCAGTGTCAAACAGTCATAGAATCCGCTGTCACTATGATGTCGATTATATATAAAGTATGAAGCTGAAAGTGGATACCATTACTATCTGAGGAGTGTCACATCATTCCTTATGTTTCCAGTGTCCTGTCCTTGGATGAGGGTAGAAATGGACGACGAGACTGATCTGTAATGGATGTTTTTCGAGGGCGGGCTTAATTTGTTTAAACATGTCTTCAAGTAAAGTTGTATCAGTGTTCTTTGTTGTAGGGATGTTTAAGTGGTGGTACGACTTGTCCGATGCTAATAATAATAACAATCTTTTAATAGGATGCTCCATCACAAGAGTGGTTTACATAGAGGTCCTAATTACGAGATGTATATTATATAATACAATTAAAATATAAAAAGGTTAAAAAAAAAAAAAAAAAAATAATAATAATAATAATTCAAGCTAAAATCGAGTTACAGAAATAATTAAAACATACACACTACAAGTACTCAATTATAAAAAGCAGAAAAAAGACACTTCTTAAAAATTGGAAAACTTGCTGAGTTTCTTACAGTTCTCTCTAATTCATTAAAGTCTTTGAAACAGTGGTACTGCGAACGTTGTTTTCCCCAATTATATTTAATTTTGGGGAGCTTGATAGTATCGTTATTGCGCGTATTGTAGGAATGTATATCACTCTTTCTTACAATGTCCAAAGAATGATTAAGTTGGCCATTAATACACTTGTATGCATATATACATCGATGACATTTCCTACGTTCTTCAAGATTCAGCCATCTCAAGACAATCAATGCATCGGTGGATGAGGAGTGAGGTGATCTATCTAATATCAACTTAGCTGCTTTGTTTTGGAGAATTTGCAATTCCTTCATAAGGCAGCAGTGATTGGTGGACCTTTATTGGTTATCTGTATTCTTGTCATATACTGTTGCTGCTGCAGGTCCCGCCCAGCAAATCAAGGTGCTGTCCTCGTTACACCTGCAGTTGGCCATACTGCTGTCATGGCAACAAGCACTAACACCACCGCTCCCATGCGACCGCTTGTTAATGTTGCTTGAGTACAGTGGACAAAAGTGCCGGGCATGCGCAGTTCTTGATAAATTTTGAAGTGTTTCCGAGGAGATACGGCTTAGGGATTACGCAGTATGATGCAAGCATAGTCAATATTTTCAGATACTTTCCGTAGGGAAATAGAAATTAATATTGTCAACAGGCTGCTGAATCTGTGTATGGTCGCATGTTGCTTGTGCGTGCGTCGTGAGTGCAAACCAGCCTTAAGGTGGATTTCCACTGTCGCCTAATTCGATACGTGCGTACGCGCATAAAAATTACGTGTGTGAATAAATTAGGGGCAATGTATGAAAGGCCGCGCGTAAACGTAAAAGTTAAACCTCGCTCAACTTTTACGTTTACGCGCGGCCTTTCATACATTGCCTCTAATTTATTTATACCATCTGTAAATTTTACGTGCGAAAGCGCGTAAAAATTATGCGACAGTGGAAATTCACCCTTAAATTAAACTTTAAGCCGTTTTTAACACTTAATATTTGGTTTATCTACAGTCGAAAGAACAATTTAAAACTGTTAGTTATTTGTTTTTCATGGTCGATTTTTGTTTCGTAGTTTCTTACAGACAGGTTCATATTTCCATAGCTACATTCACGTAGGTAGGGTATAAAAAGTTGGTTGGATTTTCGCGTATGACCGCTGTGTTGTTTTTCATTGGTTGCCGACCACTGAATAATGTGACACTGCGTAAATATCATAAAGAGAACAACTTAGTCGATGTTCACACTATATCGCATAGCTTTTGCTCCGGCACGAAAACCAAACCGGATGAACACCTAAGAACGGTGGTTGGTCGGCGCCATTTTTGTAACAAAGCGAAGCTGCGCCGCGCCGATCTCTAAGGTGGACTGGGTACCATATCAGGTACGTGTTCACACTACAATCAATTCTCGCCTTGGGGACACCCCGCTATAACGGACACCCCGATAATACGGACAGCAGCTAAATCCCCTACAAAAATTTATTACAGACGTTTGACTGAAATAAACTCTCGCTATTACGGATCCTCGCAAATGAGGAGAGTAACTCGAGGTCCCTACAGTGTCCGCTATAAAGGGAGTTTACTGTATTATGGGATAACTTTTCGTTTCAACACGAAAACCTTTCTGGTACAGTGTGAACATAGCATTAAATATAACATCTACAGTTGCGAAAAGTCTTATGCGAAAAAACTTGATTCAAAGCCGCACGAGATCATTTGATTTATCAATTTCTTTTTTTTTGTTACTTTTTCCAGCTTTCTTTTTGTTGTTGTTGTACCGTGTTTTTTTATGACATTACCTGCGTACAGTTTGGAGTTAGCTTCGAGTTAGTATAGTTGACTTTTAATAAGAGAAAGCTGTACTGTAGCCGAATAATTTGAGTAGTCTATTAATAACCATAAGTGTTATTGATCGATCCTTGTATTTGAAAAATAAGTTTAGGATGAAGTAGGAAATTTACAAAGTTTTCTAACCATTAGCAATAGCCAGTAGAACCTAAACGATGCGAAAAGAAATCAAATTTGCACACTACGCGCACCTAAAAACCTAAAACAAGATTTTAGCTAAGATGGGCCAACTTTGTGAAACAGTTTGCCCAAGAGCTTACGCAGAATAGGAACACTTGGGCACTTAAAGAGAGAGATTCAGCAGTTTTTTAAACCAATGGCAACACATGCTCCGCCTTCGCGGCAATCTTGACGTAAATCAGTTTTTCAGTTAGCTGTTATTATTGAGTCTTAATCCATGTATTAAGTATAGTCATTGTATTTTGGTGAAGATTGTACTGTGTAGAAATAAAGTATGAGCTTATATAGTTGGATATATTATAAATGTAGCATACATTTTAATTATTCAGTCAGGATTAACCGAAATTAACTGGGGTTTGAAGATTTATCTTTAACTGTCCAACACCCCATTCGCGACTAAGCTGACTGGCAGGCATGTTCTCAGTTTGCAATCTGCGTCTTCAGTACAATTGCCATTAACGTAGCTTCCTTCAAACTCAAGCTAGAATTGGAATTCTGAGGAGTGGTTAATTAATCTTGCTACAGCCGGAAAACTTAATGACTGAGTTCAAGGTAAAACAGTTGATTTTGTTTCCCTCCCACTGGAAAATATTGAGATTTAAAGAAAACAAAATTAACTGGTATCGTGATGGTAAAGTCATTTTTTTGTCATATAGCGCCAGGGAAGACACCATAAAGATATTGAAGTGTTTGAATTGTTGGGGGGATTACCGTAGTCGATTAATTCGGCATAGGACAGTACGCTACTATGAAGTCCGGCTACAGCGTTGCACCAGAATTGATAACTTTGGTAGCGGTTGTTTACGAAAGTGCGAACTCCTTCCTGCAATTTGTTTACTATTTCTTTTCACTTTTGTCATCACCTTCCTCTTTCCTTTCTTTCAGTTCTTGTTGTTTTACCGCAGTGACTTTATTTTCTTAAAAATTCTTCTCCTCTGAAGCGCGCATGCCCAGTCTAAATCACCACTCTCAAAACAAAGATTTAGACTGTATATAGTAGTTAATATCGATTTTCTTTTCCAGAGATTCAGGGAGTGTAAATTTGAATGCAAACTTCTTTCTTTGAGGCTGGCCGAGACGTTTTTTAAGTCGGTTTTTGGGTGGGTAATAGGTCAGGAGGAAAAAGTTCTTGCGTCCCTCAAAAAGTCGACTTGCAGGCTGGCAATGAAACTAACCTTAATCCGTAAGGTGCACCATTCAGGATCCCATAAACAGTGGAAATTCTCCTTATGCACACATTATCTATTGCAGGTTCGGAGGTAACAAACTCCTGACCTGTATATCTGTATATCGGACATTAGGCTCTGTCCCTTTGGTGTCCGTATTAACGAAGCTTGATTGTACTCGTTTTGCGACCACGCCCATTACGTTTACGCTTTCAATTTACACCAACAGATTCCAGACTACAAATTAATCTGTTATCACCCGATATCCCACGGCCTTCCTGGGTGAGTGTCAAATCTACTTAGGGGGTGGGGGACTGTTTGGGAGAAGGCTCCCTCTCCCCACCCTTCTTTAAAGTAGACTTTTGCTCCAAGAGTTTGAGACTAACCTGTCGCGGTTTTAAAAAACCCGATCACATCTTAGTAAGGATTCAGAAACCAGATATGAGGAAGCACGAGAAAGGTTACATTTCTTCTCCCGCAATGAGACGGATACGACGTGAAATTCAGTTCACTTTTATCAAAGAAGTCAACACAAGTTGACGACTTTGTTTTCCTTTTTCTCAACTGACTTGAAGACGGACAATCCTTTTTGAGGCCTGAAACAGTGAATTGTGGTGATCGGAAACGGGAATTTCTATCCGTGGCAAAACAGACTCCTTATTTATCCATTCATGTTGAGAATAGCTGTCAACAATGGTCGAGTCCGTAAGATATCGCGTGACCTTAATCAGAACCTCGCTCATTCCCAGACGTTGACGTCATTCCTGAAAATTATTGCATAAGCAGCTGTGCCACGAAGCGGTTTACACTTCACATCTTCACATCCTCTGACACGGACGCTCCACTTCTGGCTCCCGAACACAGGTTTGTTTAATACATGATTTCTTTATTTGGATTTTAAGGCATTATGTATTTTTAATAACTAATCAGTTGCAAGCGGTGTGCGGCTTTGGCCAGGAGGGATACTCCCTATGATGGCCTATACGGGGAGGCTCCGCCCGAAAGGGATACCTTTTTCAGGCTTCAGGTATATGAAATGGTACTGAAGGATTTCACTAGTTGAAGCTATATAAAAGGGTAGGGAAATCTGTCATTTGGGTCTGTGAAAGGGCCCAAAAGGGCTAACAGATGAGTTTTATGGCTTTATAAAGTCGAAAAAACGTTCTATATTTGTGATTGATTCCTATTTTAAAAGACAGTGCATTTACAGCAGTTCAAAGGGATGTAAAGTTCTAAACAAGCTTTGTGAAAGGGGGGGGGGTACCATTTGTCAATAGAAGGTATACGAAAGGGGTTCCTTTTTCGTGAAAAATGGTATATAAAAGGGTAAGGGGTTGGACCTTGGGGTGGAGCCTCCCCCTATAAACATTTGTTAAGTACCCCCCGGGGAGCTTTTGTAAAGAACGCCAATTTTGTGTTAGTAGACTATCGTTTTCGTCTGTTCCTAAAGTTCAGGTATGCAAGAGCTTCAATGCCTCCCTTGCCTGGAGTTTTTAACTCCCTGTAGAAAGTGACAAAGACAGGAATCGGCCTCTATCTTTCTCCATTTTTCTTAGTTTCTGGGTTTAGTAATATCCAGTTTCCACTAACGACGAGACATTTTAAGGCTTTTAATGTACAAATTCATTATAAAGACTTGGTGAAACACTTCGTCAACACTTGATAACGGTGAAACAGATCGATCATAAAAAAAAAATATAACAATGGGCCTTTGAAGGTGCAAGCATATGGACGCTATTTATGGAAACTTTCGAAAAATATGTCATATTTGTCATATCACTTCATGATCAGTCCACTGGTCGGTTAGCCTCTGCAGTGTAGGCAGTGAAGTGAACCGAGACAATGAATTAGTTAAGATAGCATGACAAAGAACTGCTGTGTTTACTAACCCTTTTTTGCTACAGTTGCGTGACTTGCGGGACTAGAATGCACAAGTTTCGCGTGAATTGTCTTCGAGACGCGACGGATGTAGGCTCCACCCACTCACTACTCACGCGATATTTCTCTTCTGCCTGATCCATCAGTTTTTCTCTCATACTTTTAGTGTCTTCACAAATTGTTCCTTTGCTTCAAGTTGGAAAACTTCTACGCGAAAATTGAGCAGTAAAATTACTATGAGCTGTTCAATTTTAACGATCAGCCTGTGAAGGCATCTTGGACGCTATTTCCGACATCATGTACTGAGTCTTGACCTCTTTGTAGACTTTGTACCTTTTTCAGAATATTCAAGGCCTCTGTTTTCATCTGAACACACTTCGCGCCAATATTATGACCTTTAAAGTATGTGAACTGCGTTCGAATTAAATGTAACAAT